CGCGGAATGCTTGTGACAGCGATAACAGATGAGGGGGAGCACGCTGAACAACAGTAACCACACATACCAAGCTCTGCATATTCGTTGATGGACTTCTTTTCACCGACCTTGAAGCCCTCGGTCTTGGAGGCAACGAGATCTTCTTCGTGCTCAGGCATGATGGCTGCTGTTTTGGTTGTGTTGGTGGCTCTGGTGGGGTATTTGGATAACGGAAGTAGGAAAAAGGTTCAGGAGAACAATTGTTGGATGAAGATCTGCCTCACCGATTGCGGATTGGGACGAGCTGAAAGATCAGTAATGACCTGGGGAATGAAGAGATTTCAATTAGGCACTCACCCGAGAAAGAATTGAGACCAGAATTTGCTGAAGGAGGGAATTGTTTTGAGATGTTTTGGAGTGGAAGGCCAGTTGAACTAAAGGCCAAGTGGGGGGGATGGGATTAAAAGGCGGTGGGCGATTGCCTTAAACGGCGGAGAGGGGGGGGCTTATTCTTCGTGATGGCCCAGACTCATTCATCTCGTCTGCTCTTTTCTACAGAGTATTGGGCCAGGATATAGTAATGAATTTTCTAGGTACGAAGTACTAGAGCTGGTCATGCAAAGATCGCCTCACACAGCGCAGGAATACCACCCGTTTTAAACCCCGAATGCTGCCTCTAACCGAGTCTCCTCCTCAGAGCCGTATACAACCAGAGTACCAGGATGCTTGACGGGGCATCAAGATCAGATTGCCCGGTGTGTCGTCGAAATTCCAGGAGTCCAGGTGAAACCCTAAGCAAGACTTCCAATCATTCCCCCATACCCCCGATGAAGTACAGAACAAGCTTGGATAGACGTAAGAGGATCTAGGACATAGTGGACTACCTGGCTATACATGCTGTCATCGACTCGTCTCAGAACCTGTCAGCCAGGGAGGCTGAGTCAAATACATTTACCGATGGCCATGAACCGCATCGATGCAAACCATGTCCCGCACAGGATGTGCACAGTGGTTACCGTAGAGGTAGCGAAGTGTCAGCCCTGACTCAACGCATGTCGTCGTCGGGCATGCATCAATGCCCAGAAGTCTCGAGTGAATTTAGAGTACTGCGTCGTAAGTGTCCGGTACTCCGTACTCTCAACCAAGAAAAGGCGAAGAGGCACAACAACCAAAACAAGCGAAGTCGCGTCACGGGGCCAACCGCGCTAGCTCAGGCCTCAAGGCAGAAATACGTGGTGGGCGTAATATGGTATTTGTTGATACCGGGGGATGAGCCGGCGGCGCTGGTACTTATCGTTCGGGTTAGACAGTGGAGCAATTGACGCAGAGGACTGGCTGACTCAGCGGAGATGCTGCAGTAGCGCCATAACATGTCCCGCGCCATACGGTCACGTAACCATTGGAGTAATGCAGCGGTGGGAATCATTCTTGGATTATTTTCCCTCTCCCCTACTCCGAACTCCAGAGAAATCTAACCTTAGCGACCTGCTGCCGCTGCTGCTGCTACTGCTGCTGCTTATCGACCGAAGCGCCCGCCTGGACTCCCTCCCATCCCCATTCCTGCCTTTATCTTCTGGCTTGTCGCGTATCCCATTCAAACTTCACACCCCGTCTAGTGTCCGTCCGGGTTGAAATCGTCTGTCTGTCACCTGTGCGCTTTCGTCTTGGTGACGTCTTCTTTTCTCGCGATCTGTAGACTGAGAGCGGCGACAGACGCGCCTGCAACGTGGCCGCCGCTTGTGTGTCGCAACCCCAGTCCACCAGCCTACTCAGCACCGCCATAAGCCTGAGTCCTTTCGAGTCTCTTAATCCATTCTCATCCATCCAATTCGAGTCGTTCATAATGGTGCGCACCTTGCCGAAAAGGAACAACCCGCTCATCCTCGCCGATGAAGCTCCTGCTTGTAAGTCGTGCCATTCCATCGGTAGCCGTCGATTTCAGTATCGCTCGCACTTCACTTTATCGACTCCATCGAACCTCAGGTCGCACGAGACTGACACGCACCTTGCTTCGTGCTTGGGCGACAGATGAAGAACTTCTTGCGCGCCGTCGCTTGGGAAAGACGAACCTCGCGGTAAAGCCCACCCAAATCGGTACCTCCAATGCGACCAAACCAGAGAACCTCGGCCCTTTTGAATACGCCCATTTGCGTGCCCCTTTGCCAAGTGACCTCAAAGGATCTGAAATCTTCCCCTCACATGCCCCGCAACAACATCCTGAGACGTATTTCTTGATGGTAAGTCGCGTCCCTTCGGGCCCTTAGCCTTTCGGATTCGCGGAACCTCACGGAACCATGGTTAACGCGGTGGATTCCTTTGTCACTCCCAGCGCCGTAGCAGAGACGGATACGTTAGTGCCACTGGCATGTTCAAGATCGCCTTCCCTTGGGCTAAGCTTGACGAAGAACGATCTGAGCGGGAATACTTGAAAGCCCGGCCTGAAACCAGCGAAGACGAGATCGCCGGCAACGTCTGGATCTCCCCTGTACTCGGTAAGTCCTTCCAACTACATCACATTCGCTCGTCCACAGCTCTAATTCACGGATCCTCAGCCCTTGAGCTCGCCAAGGAGTATCAGATGTACGACTGGGTCCGGGCCTTGCTTGACCCCACCGATATCATCCAGAGCCCTTCATCTGCAAAGAAGCAAATCACCCCTCCTCCCAGGTTCGACTTGCCTCCCATCGAGGCCCCTACCCTTCTCGCCTCTACGACCCGTCTCAGACGAGGACGCTCGGCTTCGCCCAGCAAGAGACCTACCTCTCCCCGTAAGCCTAGACAGACTAGAGCCATGAAGGAGGCAAACGCGGCCGCCACCAGTGCAGCAAATGCTACTCTACAGTCTTCTCTCGACTTGACCGCATCGACGGTGGAAAGCGAGTCGGTGATCAGAGCCATCCAGCCCAGTGTGGAGGTTGACAGCGACCAGAAGCCGGCTCCTACCCCGAGAAAGACCAAGACGCCTAAGCCGATGAGGATGCGTCATGTCCCTCCTGCGGACGAGGTTGAAGAAGAGCACAAGGAGGAAGAGAAGGAACAGACGGTGAAGGTTGATGTTGAGACTACCGCCAACACGGTCGATGATGTCAAGACTACCCAGACTACTGTCTCCGTGGAGCTGCCGGTCTCTCTTCCTGAGGCACCTTCCGCAGCTGATACCGAGCAAATGATCGCGAAGGCGAAGGAGATGGTGGAGGAAGCCGTCAAGCTTCAGACCGAGACTGCCGAGCCATCGTCAGCCAAGGCGGCTTTGAAACGCAAGACTGATGCGCTCAGTGAAGATGAGGATGAGGAGGATGAGGAAGCTCGTACTCTCCGGACGAAGCGCGCCAAAGTCCTGGAGGAAAAGCTCAAGCAGGAGCGCGTTCGGAACCGTGCTCTTGTTGGTGTTACCGCTGCCTTTGCTCTTGCGTTGGTCCCCCCCATCTACTTCCCTTTCCCTCCTTTCAGCATACTAATTGGTTGTGCAGCGCTTCGATTCCTTACTTCTTCATCTAAAGAATTTAATCAAGTCCTCAATCACGAGTGGAGCGAAAAAGCAAGAGATCGCTCGTGATGTTAAACTGCGCGCACATCGTAGTGACCGAAGCCTTTCTCAGCTATGAATACAGATGTCACAATCTTGACCACTTGCCACAAATGCCATGGTATCAGACGACTACTTCATGCAAGGCCAACGAAAAGCTGTCCCTGTCCGTGCACCGTTTGCCACTCCCGATAAAATCCGATTTCAGGCTTTGGTCTATTGCCCCCTTGCGCCATCACGAGTCCTCCCAACAGCCATGGTCATTTTGATGTGTATCGTATCTGAATCTGCCTATATCGTTCTTAATGCTGTGCCTTTTGGTTGCGGGTGATGTGCGTCGAGTCGGGGATTGGCCTGCACCGGTCCTGGAGATCAGAGAGAAAGCCTTGGGTTCGTTTCGTTCTTTACCTGCACCTTTTCATTCCTCCCTTCTTCCTGGATACCTGATATATGCCCTATAATGTGGTTCTCTTTTCGTTTCTTCACCATTTGCGCCGGGAGTGACTCCTGGTATCGTGACGCAATCGGATGGCTTTGACTGGATTGTACTCGGGCGTTGTGCTATTGTTAGGGTAGATTTGACAGACGACGCTACATGCAGAAATTTGAATGTTGATAAGAAAGATGTTCAGGGCATCGTAGAGTATGATGCAGTTGTAGGACTAGTGGGGGTCCAGACCGTACTTACTGAAGTAGACCTGTGCAAACAAGCAAAACACATCGTTATCGGCGGCTGGATCTCTCCGCCTTCATCACCGAAGCTACTTTCTTCGATTCTTTGTCCTTTCTGACAACTTGGATCACATTCTCACGACTTGGATAGAATCTACTCAATTCACCTGTTTCTTCCTTGTCAGTATTTGCCCCAGTAATGCCATGTCTCTTCCCGGTCTAGATCTTACGCAACCCTCTGGGGAGAAGGAGTTTGTCCCCGCACCGCCTACACAGATCAGTCTTTCCAAAGGTTCGGAATGGCGATTTGAGGTTGCTTTCGGCACCATCGTGCGCGTCAGGGTAAGTGCGCCCCCCTGGTGGTGGCCTGTCCCGCTGATGCTATTGAACTGCTTTCTTTCAATTGACTCCGGACAACTGACTAACCGCGCTCAATGGAGAGCTAGCTTCTCGCCGGCACCGCCGAACTGTTCGGCACCGAACTCGCACCGTCACAAACGTACACCTTCTCCGGCACGAAAGCCGCGATCTACACCTGGCACGGGTGTACCTTGGAGGTCAGCGCCGGCGAGACCTATTCGACGCTGGATAGCCTGGCGCCCGGCGGCAGCAACGGATCGATCACGGCGGGCGATGGCAGCACGACGCGCGGCTTAGGCGCCGGAGGCTGCCAGAGCGAGTACACAGCGGAGGAGACACCCATGGTGGAGTATGCCAACGTGCACTTCGCGCTGGAGACGATGCGCCAGCAGGCCAAGGCGCAGGGCAGAGACGGCCCGCGGGTGCTGATTCTCGGCCCTGAGGACGCGGGCAAGACCAGTCTCGCAAAGATCTTGACGGCGTACGCCACCAAGGTCGGGCGGCAGCCGATCGTCGTCAACCTCGACCCAACGGAGGGCATGCTGAGTGTGCCTGGCACGTTGACGGCGACCGCGTTCCGCACGATGATCGATATCGAGGAAGGGTGGGGCAGTAGTCCCATGTCGGGGCCGAGTGCAGTGCCCGTCAAGCTGCCGCTGGTGTATTTCTATCCGATGGCGAATCCGCTCGAGGCGGAGGGGTCGGTGTATAAGGGGATCGTGTCGCGGTTGGCGCTCTCGGTGATGGGGCGGATGGCGGAGGATGAGGATGCCAGGGAGACGGGAATTATTGTGGATACACCCGGAATTCTCAGTCAGAGTAAGGCGGGAAATGTGGAGTTGATCAAGCATATCGTGACCGAGTTTGCCAGTGAGTTTACTTGCTCTGGGGAGGCTTAAGCGTATACTGATATGATGAGTGGTACAGTTACGACGATTTTGGTCATCGGCTCCGAACGGCTCTACAGTACGATGATGAAGAACTTCGATAACAAACCTACGGCTAGCGCGTCCGCTGTGGCGTCAGACGAGCGTATCTCGGTGGTCAAGCTGTCCAAGTCGGGGGGATGTGTGGATCGGGACGCCGCGTTCATGAAAGCCGTCCGCGAGTCGCAGATCCGCACGTACTTTTTTGGAAATCCGATCCCTTCGACGGCATCGGCGGCGCTGTCGTTGTCGGCTGCGTCTACCACGAACGTGACCTTGTCGCCGCACGCGCAGCAGCTAGATTATAGTTCCTTAGCGATATACAACTACACTGTGGCCTCGGTGGAGGAGGACGAGGATGAGTACGACCCGGCGCAGTTTGGGACAGATTCGTTCCTCCCTGGAGGCAACGAGGCGGACCAGAGCCAGGGTCACCAGCCAGAGGAGAGTAGTGCTACGCCTACTTTGCCGGGGCTGCCGGGGCTGCCGGGACTGCCTGGGAGTAGCACGGGTGGTGCGGAGACGACCAGCGCGAGTGTGCCGATGAAGAAGCTGCTGCCGCCGGCGCCGACGGGGTTGGCCAATTCGCTGCTGGCCATCACGCACGCGGCGCCGACAGCGAGTCCGGGGGATGTGCGCGATGCGAGCATCATGGGGTTTTTGTATGTGGCGGAAGTAAACAATGAGCGGGGGAAGATCCAGGTATTGGCGCCGGTGGGGGGGAGAGTGCCTCCGCGGGCGTTGGTGTGGGGGAAGAAATGGCCTGGGGAGGTGGTAGGATTAGTGGGTTAGTCAGTTAGTAGTTGCCGCTAACTAGCGTCAGTCAAACTCCCTAAGTTATCTCCGTTAGTTACAGTACATACAGTAACTAGTTTCCTGCAAACAATTTTACTCCTTCAACTCCTTCCCTCCTCCACCTTCCTGTCTATACGCTTATCTCTTTATCCACCTCACACTCTTTACTATATCTACTTTCGACAGATCACCATGGGTTTTTAGAGATTGTTGACTGCATAGCGTCTCTTTGACACAAATCCTCCACCACTCCTTACAAACAAACCACTTAACTACCACCAAAGCGCTCCTTCCAAACCAGCTCAGCTTGACAACATCACCATCACCACCAACACCACCAACCACCATCAACGCACCCTCTCTCTCACTCTCTCTCTCTCTCTTCCGCCAGAGACACAGAAATGCCCCGTCTCCATCTAACGAACCACCTAAACCGCCTCCTCACCCTCCTTCTCACCACTCTGCCAACACCACTAACCACCTTCCTCCCCTCCCGCCTCCGCACCTACACCCACCGCACCCGCGCGCGCGCCCGCTCCCGCGCTCTCTCACGCCCACACCCTCCTCCTCCGCCTCCATATCAATACAACGACCTCAAACCCTACAAAGACAAGAAACACCCTTTCCCCAACACCAATCACCCTTGCCGAAACCCTCCCAACCAATACTACCTCCGCCTCCGCCACCTCCTCAAAATGACCCTCGTAACCCTCCTCCTCCTAACTCTTTTCCTAACCCTCCTCCCCGCATACACGATCTACCGGCCCCCCTCCCTCTTGATTCGCTATCTCCAACACCGCTACCCCGACGTTCTCTTTCACGTCCCGCTACCCCCCAGCGCCCCGAAGACCATCGCCTTAACGATCGACGACAGCCCGTCAACCTTCACCCCGGAAATACTGGGGCTGTTAGAACAGTACGAAGCACGCGCGACGTTTTTCGTGATTGGGGCGCAGATCGCCGCGCCCCGGGGCCAGGAGATTTTGCAAGAGATGGTGAGGGCGGGCATGGAATTGGGGAATCATGCGATGTCGGATCGGCCGTCCCTTGAGTTGAGCGATGCGGTGTTGGAGGCGGAGGTTGTGGGGGTGCAGGGGTGGTTGGATCGGATTGAGTGGCAGGTGTTTCCTAGTCCTGAAGAGGAGGATGATGATGAGAGGGAGGATAGGGAGGAATTAGGTGGTGGAAGAAGACAGCAGCAGCAGCAGCAGCAGCGCAAGTATAAATGGTTTAGGCCTGGGTCAGGGTTCTTCTCAGATCGCATGCGCGCAATCATCCAGAAACTGGGAATGCGGATTGCGCTCGGCAGTGTATATCCCCATGATGCGCAGATTGACTGGCCCCGGCTGAATGCCTGGCATATCCTCAGTATGGTTCGCTCGGGCAGTGTGATTGTCTGTCATGATCGGAGGGGGTGGACAGTGCCTATGTTGAAACGCGTGCTTCCTGAACTCAAGCGAAGAGGATACCGGGTCGTGACTCTGAGTGAGTTGGTGGAGTTGGGCGAACAAGGATTGCATCTCGAGCTATAAACTGTCAAATGGCTACGATGCTTTGAACAAGTGGATGGTGGTGCAGTCAGTATACATGTATATAGTCTAAATCTCTACCGTACAGGCTGGTCCTGAAGCACAAGAAAAGTATACAGAGACACCCCGATACATCTCATCACTCCCATCGCTTCCATTCCTCCACATTCTTCCGCAGCTCATTCTCAACATCATACCCCTGACTGGCAGCCTCCAGCAGCTCGGCCTGCCGGTCGCGATACCGCTGCTCCGCTTCGCGCCGCCGCAGCGCCACCAGCTTCAGATACGTCAGGTCGTCCAGCTGCACCGCCTCTTGGAACTTCATCCGCATCCGCGGCGAATACAATTGACAGCTCGCCTCGCGACAGCGCGACGGCCCTTCGCCTGGAAGAAGCCGCATCGTCGTCGAAAACTTGCGCGCGATCGGTTGTTTGGCCTTGACCAGCGGCCACACCACATCGTCATAGCAATCCTCACATACAGTGAGCTCGGGCAGCTGTGACATGTAGTGCCAGGTGCTCAGAACCTGCCGGTCCCGCCGGCAGTCCCGAAGCACCACCTTGCGTCGCGCATAGGACAGAAACTCGCTCACATCCGGACGCATCGCATGCTCCAGCTCGGCTCGGTTGGCGGCCATGTCCAGGCAGTCAATGTAGCGAACGAACCGGGCACTGTCGGTCACAAAATCACACGCTCTCTCCTGCTTGGTGGCACTGCGTTTGAATGTCTCCCGGTGGCGGGGCATAAGGACCCTCAAGTTCCGCACACAGGCGTGGCATACGTTGAACTGTGGAAGGAACATGTTGGTGTCAGGGTCTACAACGCGATACCAGTGCTGTTCGCTGATGATGCGTCCTGGACACGGCTTGCTACCTGGTGGGGGCCGGGTGATTTGCAGGAGCAAATCCAGGTGGTCCAAGTGTTTCTTCTGTGTCTGCATCCATGCCAGGCGCGTCCATGGTTCACTCATGGAACAGCGAACCTTCTCGTCCCGAGGCCGTGGGCTCGCTAGAACAAACAAGTCCCGGAATCTGGACTTGCGCATCTGCTTCAAGCAAGAGGGACAGATATCCAGATGAGACATTCCCTTCACGGTGTGCCAGTCTTGGTATCCTGCCACAGGAACTGACCTAGGGCAGGGCGACAAAAAGAACTGGGGCTTGGGAGAGCTTCTTCTCACAGCACCCTGCGAAGAACTTCTTCGACTGACTGGCTTTGCAGGATAGACATCCTCGGGATCCTCTTCCGGCGACACAGGCCGCTGCAGAGCGTCATCAAGGAAAGACACGGAACGTCTGCTAGATGTCTGGGAAGACGCTGACTGTGCCGTGTCCGAGGATTGGGATCGTGCAGCCGGCTCGGTGGCAACTGCAGGCCGTTCTGGGGTCTCTGCCAGAGCTGCAGTAAAGGAGGCCGAGAAAGGATCCTCTTCACCCTGCTCATGCGCAATAGGCTCCTTAGTCGTAGGCGCAGACTTAGGTGGGGTGGGCTGTCTGGACGGCTGCACCCCACAGCCATTAGGGCACGTCACAGATGGCTTGATATTAGCTTGCTCAAGGGAGGCAATCGGTTGGGCAGCGGCAGCTGCAGGTGGCGGACTCTTCTGATCGCTGTTCTGTGCAGCCTCTTGTGATGCGCGCAGCTCTTGCCTCTGGCGCAACTTCTCTTCGATTCTCTCGGCCAAAGTAGGTCCATTGGAAGGCTTCCCAGTGGGCGAGGACGATGGCTTGATCGGCGAGCCCTTCGCTCCCATGGCAGCAGAATCAGAGAGATGCCCCGGCTTCGGCATGAGTGGTCTGGTGACCTGCGCTGATGGAATGGGCTTCGCACTGTCCGCTCGCTTCAAGTTGGACGGCGACATAGAGGGCGTGCTTCCGACTGCTTTGGTGGTGGACGTTTTGGTTGTCATAGGGCCATTGCGAGAGCTTCGGGTCAAGTCCTTCTTGGGAGGACTGTCCCCCTTCGAATCAAGCTTTGCCTCCTTCGGACGGCCATTGAGGGCTTTACTGGGGTTCTGAGTTGGCTCAGAGCGCGCTGAAGAATTGCGGGGTCCGCGAACCTTGTCGGAAGAGGTCCATGGGGTGGACAGAGGCGCAGGCTGATCGTCCTCGACGATATAGAGCATTGGGTCGTGTTCAATGTCCGCCAACGGAGTTGATGGCTCTGCGTTGTCATCAGAGCCACTCTCGCGGACCGAGTCGTCATACACCGTTGTCTGAACCACGGAGGAGAATGAAAGCACATCCACAATCACTGGAAGCTGGTCAACAGTGCCTCGGGAGCAGACGCCCTCCTGCCCCGGGTTCTCTCCAAGCTTGGTCATTCCGTGCAATTCGCGAGAGAGGGATACCGTCTCATCTTCCACGGAAGGTGCGGGGGGCCATTGAGTCTGCTTGCGCCAGCGCAAGTGCACCTTGGTCCTAAGATACATGGCGACGACGGGAAAAACAAAACAGAAAAGTCAAAGCAGAAAAAACTTTTAATCCAGTCGAATTGAGGGGGCTCCAGTCGATGTGGGAACGGGTTCCTGGGGATTTATCCTGCGGTGGCACGTCGGATCAGAATCACCTTCCTGGCTGTTGGCATTATAAATCCGTCGAACGGACTCACGAGAGAAGTTCTCGAGGAAAGAGCAACTGATCCCAGGGACAGCAAAAATCAACAAAAACCAAAGAAACAAAACCGGGCGGATTCACGAAATCAGCAATTGAGTTAGGATGCGGCCGGACGGCGCAGTAAAAATGGAGCAACTAGTGAGCAGAAGACTGGGGCAGTCTCTGAAAACCTTCCCGGGGCGGTTAGAATTAAGTATTAGGCGAAAGTATGGTTAGTAGTTTCTGATGTACGCTTCCAGGGGACGAAGTAAACAAGCACAGAGAATACGGAGGACTATATAAAGTAAATCGACCCCAATGGGAACCCGGTTGGGCAGCGCCTCTGGCCGGGGTATGGCCCTATCAGAATCTGGCCCCCCAGATTGGGCGTTAAGCGCGAGCGAATCAATCCCCCCAAAACACTGAAACACGACGATCGTGGCCATATGTCAAGCGTTGGGAATGAATGGTCCTGCCTGAGCCATGTCAACAGGAGTCATTGAAGATGAAACCATTCTGATCCCCGGACAGAAGAATGGCTTGATTGTGCATGCGTGGGGAGTAAGCTGGCAGTTGATTTGTCCCACCCCTCCTTTGTCGCCGACTTAGGTGCCAATTGTTAGACCAGGGGCCGGCAAGCAGGCGAAATTGACCTGCGGGAAAGGCGTCATCCTCGAGGCACCGGTGGCGCTCTGAAGGGTTAGCTATTGGCCTGACAGGCCTGACAGGCAACTAGCACAGGTAGGGCTCAAGCAAAGCCACCCACGATCATGGTCTGTATTGGGCGTCTCTGGCTACATGAGCACCACTTCGATGAGGTGCATCACTTTTGGGGCCTGTAGATGCTGGTCGTATGGTGCGCAGCGGCCAATGATGCATTTGCATCTGCGGATAGCGATGCGATGATATCAGCTGGAAAGACGGTGAGAAAAGCAATGGGTGGCAAGCTGCATGGAAAAGAAGGCGAAGGGCTGAGGAGGGGTGCGCTGGCCGAGAGGGATAGAATATGCGTCTAACGGTGATGCAGGGCCTCTGTCCAAAGGAGTGCGATGACTCCATCGTGGAGAGGTGAAGCAGGGGGGAGGGGGAGGAGGGGTGGTGAGAAGGAAGAGGAGCATTCATCGATTCATCCATCGATTGATTCATAGTACAGCGGATTTCCTATTTGGGGAAGAACAGAGGATTATCTTTTGTGCATTGTCATTAGTCACCTATACAAAAATATGCAGAGACACGGCCTCGGCGGCGAGTATCCGACGGTTCGGCAATGGTTCCGATGGCATCACTCCGTCGGATGAAGATTTGTCAATCACAACCAGTTGGAAGGGATTCGCCAGATGATTGCGAAAGAGAGGACGATAAAGAGTCATTAATCGATTGGTCTAAAGCGGATGATAATCACCTAAATGTAAACCTCCTGTCGTGAAGCGTACTGTTTAAGTGTGCTTATTGTACTTCAAGGATGACACGCGTGGGGTAATGGCGACAAGAACTAGAATTAATAATGAGATTAATAAACACTAGCCTTGACTAGTTATTACAAGATCACGACAGAGACAATTCATCCCGGAAGTGAGCTGTGACCCACCCACCGTATGGAAGCTTAGTTCCAGTCTTTGGAAGGCTTGAATCAGAATATAACCGACTACATCCCACCCCCACCTCGTTCAACTCTTCCCCTCTCCTCCAATGCCCCTCAATCGTATTGTCCCTCGCCTACTCCGTACCGCCACCCCGCTATCCTCCCCCGCGCTACGGCTCGCAGCTTTAAACACTCACTTCCGCCCCTCTCCTCCATCCATCAGCTTACCCGTCCGCACCAACACCAACACCCACACCACCAACATCACCATGTCAGTACCCCAGACCATGAAGGCTGTTCAGGTCGAGAAGCTCGGCGGCCCCGAGGTCCTCGAGTTCAAGGCCGACCATCCAGTGCCCACTCCGCAGGAGGGCCAAGTACTGGTCAAGAACAACATCTCCGGCGTCAACTACATCGACACGTATTTCCGCGCCGGGCTGTATCCGTCCGCGAAGCCCGAGATCCTGGGTCGCGAGGGGGCCGGTACCATCGTTGCGCTGGGCTCAGGCCCCAACCCGTACGATTTTAAGGTTGGAGACCGGGTTGCATGGTTGAGCACCGGTGGGTACGCCGAGTACACGGCCGTGCCCATGGCCAAGACGGTCAAGATCCCCTCGGGCCTCACTGATGAGGACGTGATGGCCGCGTTCTTGAGTGGGTTGACGGTCACCACCCTGGCGAAGGAGACCTACCCCGTCAAGCAGGGCGAGTGGGTGCTGCTGCACGCCGCTGCGGGAGGAGCGGGGACGCTCATGACCCAGGTGCTCAAGTCGATTGGCGCCAAGGTGATCGGAACGGCGGGTGGTGCGCAGAAGTGTGAGCTGGCCAAGAGCCTTGGGTGCGATGTGGTGATCGACTATCGCAGTGAGGAGGGCAAGGACTGGCCTCAGAAGGTGAAGGAGATTACTGGCGGTCAGGGAGTGGATGTGGTCTTCGACTCCGTGGGCAAGGATACCTGGGAGGGAAGCCTGGAGGCCGTCAAGCGCAAGGGTACGATCGTCTGGTTCGGAAATGCCAGTGGTCCTGTGCCGCCTCTACCTCTGCAGTAAGCGCTGGTGATGTCTTCGGTGTGAACTGTTCGACAAGGCTAATCTATTTCTACCTACAGGAAGCTCTCCCCGAAGTGTGTCAAGGTCGCTCGACCCCAGCTGTTCGGCTACATCGAGACGCGCGAGGAGTTCGAGTTCTACGTGAACGAGCTCTTCTCGCTGCTCCAATCTAACAAGCTCAAGGCTAGAGTACACAAGGTCTATCCCTTGGAAGATGTTGCCGAGGCTCATCGCGACTTGGAGGGCCGTCAGACCACCGGCAAACTGCTGCTGAAGCCTTGAGCTTGATGATGTTTTCTCGAAAAAGGATTACATATTCACTTTAGCCTCCTAAGTCGATGCAACCGGAATATGGACTTGACCTTACCGCCTCGCTCGTGCATGTAAATAGTTCCTACTCGGTAGCTAGGATCAATATTCTTCTCAAGCTTGTCTCTATCATTAACTGTACTGATTGATTTGTGACCGCCAGCCTTGCCACGCTGAGTAGGAAAGCCTGATTAAGGTTGACGAAGCGCCAATGGGCTCAAGCCACAGCTGATTTACGAATGCTGAGTCATTATTCGACCATTTCGTCCACAGAGGATAACTACTGTAATGCTGACCTCCGGCCCGGTGGGGGCGGTTATGTCAGTCGTTGACAAAGAAGAGTGCGTCTGAGCACAGATCCGTCAAATCAACCAGTAGAAAGGTAGAATTACTGCCAATAAAGGTGAACAGAGCAGAAAACTTGCTGACGACTCTTGCTGCAGCCTCGATAGTTTACATACTAGTGCTCACCCATTCCCCATGCTCTCCACAAGGGCGAGACAGGCAGATAGAAGTCCGCGAGACTGTGTCGTCTTTCACTCTTTAAATTTCATTGGACAGACTTCCGGTCCTGGATGAAGCAGTTGCTCCAGATCAGTCACGTCTCTGCCATCCACACCGTCAAATTTCTTCTTAGCCTCCTGAAACTTCTCCGAGTTCATATGTTTTTCGAAGAACTCCAGCATTTTGGAGATTTCTGCGGGGCTTAATTGCTTGTAATCTACTACCTCGCCACTCGAGCTGAAACTGCGGTAGACTCCGTCGGTAGCAAGGTGGGAGAAGCCATTTCCCGATGGAGAGTGTTTCAGGGATGGGAAGATCTTCGAGGAACCTTCGTCTTTCTATAGCAGTGTCAGTATTGTACAGGTGCAAGCTGTTTAGAATACTCTTACTGAGCAAGACATGGTTTGACTGATCTTTTCATGCGATATAATGAAACTCAAGACTGAATTGTATAATAGACAATCCAAGTGTGTGGTTGAAAGGAGATGAAGCCTCCCCGAGAGTTGTGGTGCGGGAAAGCTGATACTGGGAGTCAAGCGTTTAGGTTACTCTTTTATGTAGTTAGTTGCCTAGTTCTTAGTAATAAGTACACATGACCTGCTCTAGCAAATCTCACCTGTGCAGTCAGAAATATAACTTCCAAATCCCAGAACTCTAACACAAGTTATCCAACATACTTAGGTGTTTCGAGCAAAATCCTCGCACCTCAGTCGCGCACAATAAATGGTGTCGGACCAATCACTATGCAAGTCAACTAAATATTAACTTGGAAGACTTAGGCAACAGGCAAATCTATTTACAAATGGCTGGATTGGGTGCAGTGTGTACTTACTTAGCAATGAGTACTATGCACCTCACTAACCAGTGAGTAAATTAATAATACCTTGCCTCTGGCAATGAAGATAGGAAGTGTACTAGGACGTGTGTAGGCTGTCGCTAAGGAGCAACTGTGGGAAGTACTAGCCTTTCTAGGAGAATAGCAAGGTACAAGGGCAACAGAAAGTATGCTTTCACTATCACCACTCTAAAAACATTATACACCTGCTCCTCCTGGCAATATAGCATCCACCTGCGCACAACCTCGGCAGCTTATGAACCGGCGGGCAATATCAGGTAGAGGTAGATACAGAAAGCAACAGATTAGTCCTAGATTGATGAGAAAAACAGTACGAGTCTCATTAGATCGTTAATGTAAACCCTATGCGCGAATATAGCGTCAGGTCACTCGACTCAGTTCTCGTATACTGGCTAATTGGTTGAAACTTGGGTTAGTATGCATACAAATCTCTAGAGAAAGAAAACCTTTTCTTGGTCAGCTCTAGTAGCAGTTCTCCAACGCTCTGAGTCAAGGGACAGGCGCTTCACTGTCTTTTTGGTTAGCAGCAGGCTCAATTGACTGAAATTCGCGGGCAAGGTATCTATCTATGAGCCCCACCATATTCAAGGCTGGCAGTACGCTTTTTCAAGGCTCTTGGCATTGGCAAAACAAGGTAAAATCCTTCAAGGTGCGCGGTAGAGCTCAAGGCCGTCGGAGACTGCTGACTTAATGAGTTAGTTGTATACTCGAAGCGGTGACGGGCGAGTCTTACCATGGCGACGTGCTTGAACGCATCATGAGTGAGTATTTGAATCGAATTTACTCTTTGATGCCCAAACGACAGGGCAAAAAGATTTGCACGGCGGCCCGGAGCGTGGGTGAGCGGAGAGGACTTTAGTAGACGAACACATGCTCGTCCGCTGACTCAAATAAACTACAGGGAGACACCCACCTACCCGCCAGGCTAGCGCTTCCTGTCCAGTTTCCTCTTCATCCTCCTCTCCCTCTACCATAACGACCATAATACTTACTTCATGATTTTCGAAGTCGCTGAACGAGCACAAGCTTTCTCTGTGTACTCAACAATTGTCCTTGCACATGTCGTTCCATCCGTTCTTCCGGACTTGACCGTTACAATGGTGCAGCCGCACTAATACGGGACCTGGCGTCTCCGCAGTTGAGCCCTTATGCTATACGTTTACTTGCTAGCTCACTCGCTAGCGAACGCCATGAACTCTCAAGATTTGGTGGCAGCTCGGCTCAGCCAGCCCCTGTCTGGCGGGTCGTTATAGGTTCCAATGAGATTTCGCCAGACACGAGGCCTAGGTGCGCCCTCGAATTCTTTTTAGCTGTCTCTGTTCCAGCGGTGCATGGAGGAAATTCATTCGTTACCAAACAGGCCAGGCGCTGGCTATTCTTGCCCAACTGCTCGGCAGTGGTCCTATTATCTTTTGCGATATGAATAGTTTAGTCTTCACTGTGGGCATTGTTCAGCTCAGCCCCTAGATCCTAGCCGGCCGTGTCACTCAGGGAGAACATACAAGATGTCGCCTCGCCGTGACGGGTGTCCAGCGTACTATCAACCTCATCATCTTTGAAATCTACAATGACATTGATCATGCAGTCTCTATCTACGGGCCATACAAACCAGGAGTCGGAGCACCGTGCACTCTACCACGAAGTATGGAACACGCCTTCGCCGACTCTGAAACTGACGCAGTCCGCTTTGATGAGGCCTGCACCGCTTTCACTGACTCTCGAGGAGCGGACGCGGCTCACATATTTAAGAGCAAGGGCTCTGGCACATGCATACAGTAACGTTTCCCTGCCGCAGCTGTTGTGGCAAGGATAAACAACTGACTGAGACGAAACAGATTTGACCTTGGAGGATGTACTCAACACCACACCGAAGTTCTGGAAACTTCACATTGACATGCTTACCGCTATGGACGGTGGTGCAATCAACTTGGTCAGCGTTGCATATAACCTGTTCGTCGGTACAGTTGCTCCATACATTGCCTCGCAGCCTGAATTGGCGCCGATTATCGAGCAGGCGATGAACTTTGATATCTCGTGCGTTCTCTCTCCTTTATTCCGGGCCAGATGATTGATTTCATTTAGAGCACAGTTTATGCTCACCGAGCTCGGGCATGGCTTAGATGCACGCAACCTAGAAACAACAGCTACTCTTATGCCCGATAATAGCTTTATTCTGAACACACCATCACCGGCTGCTGCGAAGTGAGCAACCCTAAACCCCATTCCCTGAACCGTGTTACTAAAGATGTGTCATCCCAGGTGTATGCCACCTAATACTCCCCGCCATGGCATGCCCACTTTTGCGGTTGTAATAGCCCGCCTTATTGTCGAAGGTGAGGATCGGGGCGTCCGACCATTCCTTGTCCAAATGTCAGATGGCGTCAAAATGTACCCGGGTATCACCTCAAAGTATGTATCAGGCTTCCCTGGACAATCTGAAGAACGGGTCTGACAAGCGTGATTACCCAGGGTTTTCCCACCTCGTCCGGGTGCGAATCCAATTGATCATGCCTTGACCTACTTCAACCGCGTGCAGCTTCCGTTCTCCGCCCTGCTTGGTGGTCAGCAAGGGAGACTGCAGAAATCAAATAACGAACGTGACAACTTCTTGGCCACCATACACCGCATGCCTGCAGGAACACTCTTCCTGGCTGGAGGGTGTATACCGTTGATCAAGATGGCTGTTTATAACGCCAGCAAATTCAGTTTCCGGCGACACATTCTTGGCCACGATGGACAACCAATGCCTGTAATCGACTTCCGTACCCAGCATCTTCCTATTCTTCACGCCATTGCCAGAGCCCATGTCCTCCAAGCGTTTCTGATCCACGCCGGAATAAGTTTCTGCGACCGAAACATCACTGATCCGCGGGTCCGTCATGCCTTTGCCACGATCTTCAAGGCAGTCACAATCCACCACTTCAAGACGAGCCTCAGATCTGTGAACGAAGGCTGCGGCTGGCACGGTTACTACGACCGCAATCAGATTCTCCAAGCCGATGTAAGCTGTTTCACGATTTCAATGAAGTATCTCGTTGGCTAACCGCCTCCAGTTGGAATTTAGCGCGGTGGGCACCGCTGAAGGCGACGTCAGAGTCCTGGCTATTCGCCTTGCAAGCGAGCTTTTGATCGGCCGCTATCAAGTTCCACCACCCAAGAACCCCAACGGTGCCCTCGCACAGCATGAAGCCGGTTTATTTGCAGAAGCGAGGGTAGCAATGAAGCTCTTCGGCAATAAGCATCGGAGTGAGGCTTTCAACAGGACGATTCTCCCTCTTGCTCTTCCGTTGGTTCAGGCCATTGGGTACCGGATGGCAATCGAAGCTGCTATCGAGGTGGGCATTGACCCTAAGTTACAGGCTCTATACCAAGCTGGAATCATCAAGGAAGCTTCGGCCTGGTTTGCTGAGTATGGTCTCAGCCGTCAAAAGCAGCGCGAGATGGAGGCCGCAGCGGTCGATGCAGTGCTTCCTGACTTGGAAAGATTGGTGGAGGAAACAGGGGTCGAGCCGTATTGCACCGCACCTATGACGTCTGACCGTTTGTGGAACGATTATGTTGAAGAATTCGAGACTTTCTCAGGCGGCCCGGCAGAAGCTCCTCAGGACCTCAAAGCACGTTTATAGAGCATTTTCTTGGCGGTTACAGTTGATTGCATTGAGAGGTTGGATTGCAGGACATGATTGAGCCATGATTTGGAATGATTGATAATGAGATGCACGTGGACGTTTTGGATCTGGCAACAAGTTCGCGAACCACTAGCATAATGACAACAGGATTCAATATAACACGCGGGGCTTCGTGATCTCCGGGCATCATGTTTCGATAAGTTACAGCATCAGTGCACTCAACCATGGACAATTACTGGAATTGATGAATCCGCATAAATAGTGATGACTACTCACTTTCGAAAAAGACTATGAGGCAGACGTTGACAGCCCAGTATCCTACGCAATCAACTGGTGTATTGTTTACCAAATTCCTGTGGCTGGCAGTGAATGGTAGTGAGCTCCAGAAACCATGGTTCCAGTTACAACACCTATAGAAGGCTTGGTGATTGTTGAGGTACTCCCAATCTGGCTTGCAGTTGTTCCTCTGTCTGCCTAATGTCCTTCACCTCGAGGCCTCCAGGCAGCCATTCCTCTTCTCCCTCTAACAACACTCCACCAACTCATCGCTTCGTTTCACATCTAGAGCTTCCGGCATCAACACGTCCCTGTCAGCCCTTTCATAACATACGGCGTCTACGCACCGCGAAACCTCCCAGAATACACAGCGATCCGAAGGAGCCCGGTCTCCCAGGTCTTTTCCCCAGCCAAAGAGGAGCCATCGTCACCTTTCTACACAATGCTCCAATCAGCCCCACTGGACTACCTCGCGCAGCGCGACGAGCCCATCGAGTTTCCCCCTGACTTTCCAGTATACTATCTTTTCTACGGAACTCTCACCTCCGCGACCCAGCTGCAAAGGATCCTCGACCTGTCCGAAGAGCCGCGGTTCAGCTAGGCGGAATGTCGCAAAGTGGGATGATTGTTCCGCCCTGATAATGGGAATCAACAACGGCATGCAATGGCCGGAGCTGCGTACCTCGTGCAATCCGCCGAAGAGGCCCAGAGGCTTTCGTATTATGAGACAAATTGCCTACGAAGTGGTAGACTGTTGGATCTTCTCCAAGGACGAGAAGGAGCCCAAGGAGACTGGTGTGCAGGTGTTCATGTAAGCGGAAAATGCGCAGGCGCTACGGGAGCAACGAAGTTCGATCGCAAACTTTGGAGTCGGTAGATGGAAGGAGAATTGTGGTGATGCGGTCATGTCTTTCCTGGGAGTGTGAAAATTTTTGGTCTTTCTCTTTTTTTTTTCTTTTTCTTTTTCTTCCTCTCTTTGGCGTTTGCTTCTGGGTGTTGACTTCGTGATGGTGATGATGTTGATGATTTATGAATGAATCTAGCGAACACTGAAGTATGAAGTGTGCATGTCGCCTACTCTGTGGTAAAAGCCGTGCTACTTGCGTCCTGGTGCGAAAGTAGCTGCGATATGTGCAATGGACTACTAGTATCTTCTGTTGGTTCCAATGCTGGCGCTCTTAATTGATTCTTCGCGGCAAAGTTGCGCGTGAAGCAGAGAGCGACATACTAAGGCTTGAGAGTGTCGTCCGAATCAACATCTCAAATATTGCTCAGCGGTTGACTTGACTATGTCTAGGTTCTGAAGTATTGGGAACAGAGGGACAGACCTGGCTTGCATGTTCAGCACATGGTGAGTGTGTGGCTGTCCTATCAATTCCCCTCGTTGACATTTCGGGGATAACGCTCATATTGACATCCCAAGGCCGGAAAGCGCCTCCAAGCGAAGAGTTTTGCTCCATGATTCCTGTGGTCGGTAGCAGCTGGCAACAATGTCCATCATACGCTCATTCAGCTAGGAACCAATGATTGACATACCGCGCCCTTCCACAGCATCCGATGCGCCCAGTGAGTGCGACTGTCATTCGAAGATGTCATGCCTGCTATAGTGAACCAGTGGAAAGAGCGCCCGGGAAGAGAAGGGAGGTGGGATACAAGATCGCCACATCTCATCATATAATCGGATTTCTGACGTACTGCATGAGTCGCATCCCTCATATCGGCTCACACCATGCAATTTAACAGGCAGTCTTCTAGAAGGGCCATCGCTGAATATCCATCCGTGGTTCGTAGCAACCGTAACGGACGGGGCAGCACGTGCGTGGCTTTTCAAACCATGGGTGGATGGCTTCATTGCCAACCGTGGTTTGCAACCCTATTTCTGTCCCGCTTGTCTCTTCCGGGCACTCCGACATTTATCCTTCAGTTCACTATGTGGCTAATTAACACCAACCACTGATGGACGTAAGCTTCAAGGCGCTGTGAGATACTTACGGTAATACTAGTATTCACATCTACACAGTACGGTACAACTCCTCGGATTTAATTCGTACTAGTCGAGCCATCGCCGAGAGTGGCCGAATTCCCTCGCGTCCTCTCATCCTCTATCGACCGGCAGTCCATCTGTAGTTATCGGGCAGGTTCTGAACCTCTCTACCACCACATCAATAATGGCTGATTTTACTTCCTCGGTGAATAAGTCGACTCTCAGCTGCAACTACAACTGGATACTACCACAAAGTAGCCACGATACTACCACTTACTCAACCAGCCCGTTCCACTCCCGACGACTACCTCAGCCATTGCCCACCCCGTATTTAGGCTTAGCCCAGCATCACCACCACAGGTCCAGATCCCGATCCGTCCGCCCGCAGCTCCCACCATCACTTTATCAGACTTTCCGCCCTACCGACAGTACAGTACCCTTCGACAAAAGCAACCCATCCCAACTGGCCAAAATCCAAACGGGAAGCAAAACAATACATTCCCTCGACACTTAGCGCAGCCACAGCCAGAAGCAACCAACGCTTACCTACCTATCCCTCCACCGTTTCTAAATCAAGCTACATTCCCTTGTTCGCTGTGGACCGGACGGATCCTTGTCTAGTACCAACTTCCAAGTTATCAGACGGGATCCAAGACCCTGAGGCTTAGGACGAACCCCGCGCGCTACGCTACTTGCACTCCAGCAAATGAAATTGGGCACAGAGTTTCCAGTGAACATGACACCGAGGACAACGTCAACATCCTCAACACCCAAAAACACATCCCTCCGCCAGGCACCGAGCGACCAGACTCGCTGGCTGGACGGGACCGTCGCGGCTTTGTTCGACGGCGGTGGTCCTCGGCCTGGAGATTCGGCGAGTGCTCGGACTAGCCCTGCTGCTGCTCGTGCTACTACTGCACTCGATCAAAAGCATGAGGCGCAGGATTCGTGGTCCATCAAGCGGTTTCTGAGTCGTCACGGGAGGAGTCGGTATGCGGTGCTGGAGGGGGAGCCGAATCGGTTGCGCAAGCGGTGGATGAGGTGATCATGTTAGGGGTAACTTGGGCGTGGTGGTGTGTGGTATATATGGGGCATTTCGAGTGGGACACTACCTAGTTGTGAGTTTGCTTCTACATTGGGCGGTTCTCTGGAATTTGGTTGTGTTATTTCTGTTTTAGTGGGGTTTGTTTGGATCTGTCGGCTGTAAAGAGAGTAAATAGATAGCTGTTGCGTGAGGGTTGGGATGATGGATCGGGTATGGTCGATATTTTATAAAGATGATGATGCTGGCGTCGTCTAAATCAATTGATAGTTGAGTTAGCTGATTGTAAGCGTGGGTGAAACTCTACGCAGGAAATTGGACCTCGCATGGGTATCCCGCCGTTTACACTATACGGTAGTATCCTCCACCCCCTTGAAGTTGGTAGTAGGGTGATTGTCCAGGTTCCGGGACGGCCATCCCCTCATACATACTGAAATGCGGACAAGACAGTAAGTCCAGGAGCATTCGAAAGACCGCGCGAGGCCAGTCCATGACTAGTACTGTATGCAAGCCGGCGGGAAAGGCAGCAGCTCAATTCCAAAGCCGTGGGCGACGGATATCTCAGCGGTTTTCGGGCCTCCAGCCTTGTTTTTAGTGCTGTAGTTGGTGCAGCCATACTAAAAACAAATTGAGGAAAAACATAAAAATAAAATTAGAAAAAATAAAGATACAAGAGCCCGAGCAAATCAAACCAAAGCCAAACTAACACACTCTCCGAACAACCCTCAGAAGCAACGAGAGTACGTATTGATGGCTAAGTACGAGGCACCCTTCATCTCCGCCCCCATCATAATATGGGTAAACATGACACTGCCTGCTACAGTACAGCACAAGCCAGCGCACCCCCGCCCACCCAACGTGGTCCCTTACAACCATAGTACGGACCATAACCACCCCCTCCCTGCTTGATTTAAGCTTAGCCTGGCTAACTGGCACCAGCAATGCAGGCTAGTCTGCCTTCTGTGCGTTGTACGCATCTACTCTGTACAATAGGTACAGTATGATAGCCAGATGCACTCGATACACATGTCCTTCTGCCTTGATGGTTGCGTAGAATAGATGGGGATGGGGGGATGCTCAACCTAGTGCCGATCATCGGGCAATCCTTGTACACACTACACCGTACACTGCCTACAAAGTAGGCTGGAACTCTGTGGCTCGGATTGGGGTTGTTTGTTCATAAGTCACTGTGTGTAGTTAGTGTGCACTGTAGTTTCATGCCGGTAGTAAATTATCATGTGGGGTTTGATGGTGGCTCGGGCGCAGAAATTGTGGCTGGAGATACACTCGGAGTCGATCGGGGTTTGTGGTGCGTCAACGGGCGGCGGGCGACGGGCAATGGCCGACGGGGCAAAGAATGATCGGCACTGTACAATAAGAGTACCTTAGGTAGGCATCATGATGGTCATCTGGAGGAAGTGTGCACAGTAAGCGGCAATAGGCAGGAACTCTGGGTGGCCACGGTGGGTATTGGTTTTGTGGTTGCCTGTGTGTACGGAGTACTGTGTACAGTGTGTGCTGTGTATCATGTGGTAACTAGTCAGGTGTGGTGTGCTCAGCCACTTTTGTACTCCGTCGAGTACTCGTCTGTCGCCACAGTCGGTGCAGACGGGTTAGTGCTGATCGCTGATCAGCCGTTGTACTGTACACTAATAAGATGAGTGCTGAAAAATTCCGGAGGGTCGCCTGATGCGATTGCGAAAGAGGTGGCGGAAAGTATGTCGTATACTTCTAAGTTAGGTACTTTGTAATGTGTTAATAATCGTGGACAGAAAGAAACCACAATACATCATGATGAAGGAAGCACGGGGAAATCTGCAGTATACAAGCTACCTAACAAACGAAACTCAATTCACTCTGTACAATCGGGCCAGTAGCATGGGGACCCTTCTGCACAGGGCACACAACCCAATTCTCTAATTCCCTGTGAAGATCAGGGCTGTACGGACGCTTCTGGTTGGCTTCTACTCCCCGTTTCCCTCTCTCCCTCCTGCCCATATCTGGCCCATTATTGAAGCCTTGAAGCAAGGTAGACGATTGTCACCCCACCTGAACGATTGAGGTCTTGCCTTTAACCCCATACTTTAGAACATGACCCCTCGTTTCACTGTGGAGTACACATCCTTGGCACGTTGCGGTAGACAATGCGAATTGGACGAATGCGCTCTTGTCAAAGATGGAGAGAAAAGATTATGAGCTAGATAGCAAAGAGGATGGCCACCCAGCTTGTTCTCTACACAATCTACTTCTGCCCCAAGCGGGATGTATCATAATCACAACAACCCGCCCTGTCAGTCATACTGTGTAGTTGTGCACCTCTCGACCGAGGACCCCAAAGTTGCAGACGACCCCACAACGACTTTCATCGAGTGTTGACAGGCGACAGAAGAAGAAATTACTCCGCCTATCACTAAAGATGATCGCGTCCGCTGTGAACCACGCAAAGAAGCGTTGAAAGTACCCCCTAGATTTTTACTGATTAGCCGCGGTAAAGTTCGAGTCACATACTGTACACTTGAATTCTTTTGTCTTTACCCGCGCAGTGACCCTGAATAGACTCATCACCCCCCCCCCCCCCTTTCAATTCTTTGTTCTTGAAAGGCGATGGATGACATGCACGAGGCTAGGATCGATCCAAATCGACTGCGCGGGTCAGAGATTGAAACGGAGGAAGATGCTCCGAAGAGAGCTCGGATAGATGGTATTTCTGCAAGAATGGACTGATCAATTCGAAGCTCCGCACTCTGTACCCCGTATCCATGGTCTTGGGAGACTTTCCCGCGTGTCGTTCCTGAATGCTAATTTGGCAGGTAATCAAAATCATTTTTCTCGACGGGACGCAGAAAAATTACCCGACCTATGGGGGTTGTCGTTCCGTTAGGCTTGATGAGACAATTTCCGCCTGTCTTCTCTCCCATCCGCGTATGCAAGGTGCAAAAGTGAGAGTGGATGTGAATGTGAGGAATGGAAATCTTGAGATTAAAGAACAGACTTCGCCGTAGAATGCATTCCACACCGTACCAGCGGGCTCTTGGGGACTTTGGGATCTTCTAATTGCATCTCATCTTAAATCCGCTTCCCCTCTTCCCCCCCCCTCCCATCCACTTGTGTCTCTCCCTCTCTTCCCCTCTTCTACAGTGGGTATGATAGGGATTAGTCAGGCGGAATGTCTCACCAGTTCCGCCCATTGAATTGGAATCTGGACGGGTCTTTTTTTTTTCTCTTTTGGGTCTAAGTGTGTAGACGCAGGAACAAGGCGATCAACTGGCTGCTGATATGCATTGAGCGCTGGGGTTTGGGGAAGGGGTATTGGTAACAGACTTTGGGCAGGATCTGTCAGGAATGTCTCCAGGAAATTTTCCTTCCTCCTTCAATGAGAAGATTGTCTTAGACTGATAGTCAATTCTAGGATGAATGAATCGCTGCGAGCGCCGATTAATAGATCCCGGGTCTTTTGGCCGATGAGGCACTGGATAAGATCTCAGCAGAGGCCCGGGAAAAGGGTGGACACGCCTCTCCGATAAGCGGATCCTTCAGGCTTACCGCTATTCAGCCCACGATCTGACTCGGAGACTTTTGAGCAGACAGAAGTCTACCCAGTTAACTCCCTAGGCATCCAGCGATGACGAAGTACAGAGCACACACTGTGGTCACGGGCCGGTCGGGCGTGTGTAAACACCACATCTGCAAGGGCCGAGGACTGGGGGTAAACTCAGGAAATTGGACAGCTGGGGGTTAATGACTCCGTGACCAGTCGCGGGACTAGCGAGAAATTAGATCTAACTAGGAGTCCGTACTCTGCTGTGTGTCTGTCTCTGACGCTATTCAGCCCTCGCGAAGGAGTTGCGCGAGGAAAAATCGAGTGAGCCACTGACGCAAGTCGACGTTGATGTTGCCGAGGGCCCAATCTAAGGGAAGATTCTAAATCGCGTTAAGAAAGTTAATCAATGGACACCTCGGACCTTGATCGACAGTCAACAGACCGCAGTGCTGCGAAGCGAGTGTCTCCGAAATATCACTGTGGTAGTTATACCATAGTACATGTAGACACTCGCAACAGCTACCTGTCGACCCACCGTCGGTACATTCTGTGCTCTCCCAGGCTGATGGGCGTTACAAAACTCTGGTATATGCGCTCGTCACGCTTCTGCACGCTTGGACCACGGCACATTCGACCTGTCAAGAAGAGGCTGTCACGGCCGACGGGCGGGATTTTAACGACTTTTTACGGAGTACCTAATCTTGAGCAGCCCCAACGGCGGGAAATGAGCTGCTGCGAAGGGAGAAGTCTTTCTGTTCTCGTATGTAACCCGCACCGAGGCAGTAGTAGTCAGCACTGGGCCGTGGAAAAGGCTCGACAGCATCTTTTGCGCCTAGTGTGATAGATATCATTCATCGCACTGATATGTAGTCAAGTAAATACAGAGTAGGTGCTTTTGCCTTGCCAACTGTAAAGGTCAGTAGTCTAATGCACCCGCATCAATGAATCTTCTGCAGTGCATCCCGTCATGGTCCGAAATTGATTCTGTATCGGCCGGTATTTTCCTTTGCGGCTTTTCTTTCATTTTCATTTTTTTTTTTTTCTTTTTGCCCTTTTTCTCCTCGAATTTTCTGCTTATGAGCGAGCTAAGAATTAGCGCCGCATTTATGGTTCAGATTGTCTCCACTACAAAATCCCAACTGCATCGTCCTTTGGCCCCTCTGGGCATTCTCTAGTCTCAGAACCTCCGGGGCTGCGGTCTTGTCACAGGATCCACCCAGGAGTGGGCGGGAATGATTCTTGGGTCCCAAGAGTGCGCCCGTTACAGTATACCCGTCTGAGTTATGCATCACAGGGGACAGTATTGTACACAGTACTTGGGATGGCGATGATGTGGGTTGTCGTGATAATCATGCTGCTGCTGCTGATGATATTGCCCAGCGCCTCCCAATTCCGCCCGGTCCAGACAAGAAAAGAAGGGGGTTTTGCCGCGCTCTCAATATCAGCTGGGCGAGATCGAGAGAAAGGGTTCAACGTCATTGCATGATTCAAGACCCTGAGCGACCACGAGCAACGTCCTTGAGTTTCGGGATATCTCGAGCCCAGGCGGCGATGGGTTAACTAGTGACCTGCAGCTATCTAAACCATGGGTATGACGAAGAGGCTTTGCTGAGCATTTTCAGGCCTCAACTGTAGCTAGAGGTCACTCCAATGCGGTTGTCCATTATATAAGTTACCGGTTCAATGCATTGTTTTGCTTCTCAACACGCGTTGATGAGTATGGTACTGACCCTATTCCCCTCCATTGTTCACCACAATCGGCTCCGATGGCCGAGGAAAGCGCCTTGCCCGCCGCCCGAAGACCACAACTGATTTACGTGGTTTATAGATCGGACCAGATCAGAGTGTGAAGTGCTACCATCATACACAGTACCACAGTATATAAGGTATCTTTAGTCTACATACTTGCACCGTAGGGCAATCAGAGATGTGTTGTGCAGTAGTTTCGTTTACCCAATCGCTAATCAGCACGAATGAGATACAGTACGATGTAAGTAAGTCAGTCACTGTGTAAGACTTGGTAAGTAACTTTTCTCTCTCAGCCCAGCGATTTACCTGGCTAGCTTGTGCGCTACAATTCTGGACGCTGGGAGGGTGGATTCTAGAGTGGAGTTTTCCGGCAGATACATGACTACTACAACGCACTGGGCGGTTACTCTAAGGCAGGTACCAATGAACTTCTTCTCCGTCCTTTTCCTCGTTAACTCCATTTTGAAAGTAATAATAAAGACTCGGATTGGGCTTCTACCGAGTACCTGACTCTTTTCACAGAAGTGTGGATGCGTCTCCACAATCGAAGAGAATTCCCGCATCATTATCTATCCGTTTCGGGTCATGTTTTGGAATTTGGTTTTGTCTTTCAATATCGAGGTGGTGATTTTCGTTAGTTCCCGCATGACACCTTGCCCACTAGGAATGGAGCACAAGACACTAGACAGACGGTTGGCGGTTGACGGTTGGTGGTTGGCATCTGCATGTACTGACGGTACAGGATGTATGTATGTGTGTGCTGTACCCAACAAGAAGAGGGAGAGAAAGCAAGAAAGAAAGAAAGAACGAGAAGAACGAAAGAACGAGAGAAGAGAAAGTCAAAGAGCCGGAATGATGCAGATAGAGTCGAATCAAACCCATCCTATTGATCGATCAATCACTTATCCCATCGAGTGCAGGGGTGAGAAAAGGGAGTCCAATAATACCTCGATACCAAATGCGACTCCATAATCTATCATGAACCACCCACAACAGCAACTTACTTACGGAGCAGCTGTTGTGACGGCCGGCGACGGCCCCAGAAGGGAGGAGGGGGGGTGGGAAAGAAAGTGTGTAACCAACCGAACAGTTCCCCTGGTTCAGAAACGGGCGGCTTGTTTGTCTCGGCCCTCACAGTCCCTCGCCGACTCTCATCGACTATCATCCTTTTTGGGCTCTTGTTTTTCTCTCTTCCTCTTCCCCAGTCGGGCTCAAAGATACACTATACAGGGCTAGGTATTACTACTACTGCTGCTGCTGCTGCTTCTTTTTCTCTTCTTCATCCCCCTTCCTCCTTCTTCATTTTCCCTCTTTCTCTTGTTTCTCTCCTTCTCTCCTTTCTTTTCGACTTCCTCGCCCTTTTCTTGGACTGCCTTTCTTTCCCTCGCTCCCATTTAGGATTGCAGTCCCCTTCTTCCTTTGTCCCCTTGGACATCTCTTTCCTCTTCGGGGACGATCGCGGAGAAGGTTGATTTCCGCCACTCCATGTGGCGTGGCCTTAGGTCTCACTATCACTCCTACTACTCCTACTACTTGCATAGTACTACCTTTACACCATTGCTCTTGAACCGTGACAGCCATCATCATCATCATCATCATACCTCATATCTTTTAGTCCTCCGATCTACCCGTTCGTTCTAAACCAATAGTCACATCCCTTTCTCCCCCTCTATCCCCACTTCATCCCCTCCGTTTTTACACTCATCCCCCCGAGTCTCAACTTTCTCGTACCGTTTTACGTACCTGTATCAATTCACCGCCTGGGACATCCTTCTTCAGATCCATAACGCTAGAACGGCCTTGTGCTCCCGGCATTTCCCCATCGCTCTGAATGTCTCGGTTCGCCTCCGTCACCTGTCAACTCCGATCGTGAATCCGTGAAGTCTCGACTCTTCTTCCTCTCGTTTTCCTCTTTCCCAACATTTTCTTCTTCTCCCTCTCTTCCTCTTATCCGCCGTTTTCGTCACCTGGTTGATTTGGGCCCTTTAACTTGCCTCAGGCTCCAACCTTAGACTAAGCTCTGTGGTCGCGTGTTTAGTTCATTTCGTCATCCCTCATGAGTCCAGTCATCCACTACAACTTCGCCTCCGATTACTTCACTGTCCACTTCGACTCGTGAGCGGGAGGAAGCTCGCCTCATCTGACGCCATGGCGATATGGCCATTCGGTCGGAAGAACAAGCGGCACACAATTCAGTTGGATGCTCCTGCTGTGACAGAGGTCCCGCCGCAGGACCCTCGCCACAGCTTGGATGGCAGCAAACTAGGCAGCAAACCTTTCCGCAAACACTCGAAACGTCAGAAGAACCGACATATTTCACCCACTGAAGACTTCCCTAGTTCTTTGCACGATGTTCCCCAAGCCCCTCGATCAGGCCAGTACCCCCCATCCATGTCACACAGCGAGCAACCAGCTTCGAGGGGACATCGGCAACTATCCTCCCGGTTCGGTCCTGACGGCTACACTTCACAGCCCAACGCAAGCCATGACATGCCTTCCTTGACTCGATCTGGATCACTTCTGAAGGCGAAGCGAACCGCAAGTGGACCGGCCGTCCTCAAGAAGAAACTAAGCAAACGCAAGGCATATGAGATTGCCAGAGAACAAGAGATTAGACTGATGGCTTCTGCCCCGATTGATATTCCCCGCCGTCCGTCGCCGCTCCCTAGTGAGCATTTCTCTATCGACACCCGCAAAGGCCTCAGGGCCCCGAGTCGTCGGTCAGATCGCCACCTGTCTGACGTCAGTTTGTCCGTCCGTGACTCAGGTGAATCGTCCTTATCCGACGTTCTTGAGTCTTACACCTTCAAAGTCAACACTTTCGCCGCTTGGACCCCCCGTCCAATCATCCGATATGTGGAAGCTCCCAAGGGCCCGGTTACGAAAGGCCAGAAGTTGCCCGAGACAGTCAACAAGAAAGACAAAGTGCCGACATTTGCTGCGAATGATGAGAATGTCCATGCCAGTAAGAGGGTAAATGACCTGGCTGATGCACTGGACGCGGGTGCTTTACGAGAGTTGTTGGAAAGAGATCGTCGGCGCAGGGAGAGGAAGCAGGCAGAAGACCAGGAAAAGTTGCAACGCAGGCTGCAACAAGCCGCTGACCAGCAGCAGCACCTGGACAAGGATGCGGCTGATCTCCCCACTTCCGAGCCCCAAGTTGAGGTAGAGGAGCCATCTACAACCCAGAGGGGCCGCCCCATTGGTAGTCGGGCTAGTCCAGTCTCTTTCGCTGAGGGTGTTTCTAGGCCTGATGACACCAAGACTTTTCTGAGTGGTACCCCTTCAGGGTCATGGCTTCGAAGCGCCTCGAAAGATTCTGAGGGGCGAGGCTGCGAAACCCCGGAGAGTGTGCATGTGATTGGCAATATTGACGAAAGCTCTATCCGTGGGCGTAAGGTGGTCCCACGACGTAGTTTTGCTCCATCCACCGAGATGGGAATGTCTCGCAGCAGTCTCACCCCTTCTCATTCGCCGTCAAGGCGTGGGGTCTATAGTCCGACGTCGTCACACTTATATGGTATAGGACGGGAATCAACGTCAGATATCTCGAGGACCGTTGATTCCGACCGGCGTCTGTCAGACCATAGCAGTGGACGTGTGAATGCCCTGACGTCGATTTTCCGCCGGGGAAGTTCACGCCTGAAGAGAAGTTACCGTGAACGTTTCCAGGAACGAAGTCCCGAGCCTTCGAATCCATCGCACGAGTCCTTCTTCAAAGTTCAAACACAATCCTCGTCCGGCCCGGCCCCGTATGTTCCCCCCAAGGCATTCCTTGGCACGGGCACGATCAAGCGCTCCCAATCCAAATTCACGGAACACTTCGGTGATGAACCCCTTTCACCGCCAGATTCAAGACTACAGTCGCCCGACATACCGGAAGTGGACGATGAATTCGAGAGGGATGATGGTACTTCTGATATCAACATGGTAACTCAGTACCCTATCCCAAGCTCTGCCTCAGGTTCTCGCAACAATCATCATGACTCGTGGGGTGGCGAAAGCTGGGACGCTAATCCCGATAACGTTCCGCTGTCGCAATCACTAGCGTCCATCGATTCCGAGGGATCATGGATGTCAGGGCAGTTCCTTCGCCGCATCTCGCAGAGAAAGCCAAGCAACCCACTCCGGACCAGTCTAAGTTCTTCGAGACATAAGCTTGAGGAGGAAGGCCACGAGGACTCCCTCCAAGGCGACGAAGTCTCGGTGAATGAACCGCTTCCGAGCTCTGGGACTGAGCAGGATGAGTCTTCGCGAGCTGGATATGAGGCAGGCACTCAGCAAGACCATGTATTGACTACGGACCATACGCAAGACCCAGCAGAGGAAACTTGGCATGCTCAAGTTGCCAGGCGTCCCGTGTTGGTGAACCCAACAGTCCGTCCTAAGTCAAATGAGGGCTTGCTTAGAACCATTCTCTCTGCCGAAGAGGAGTTCAGTCCCATTGAAGAACACTCTGCTGATTTTGAGTTCGACACTCACGAAGAGTACGACCGAGGGCGTGCTCTTTGAGTGCTTGATTTGCATTGTGGTTACCCGATTTCTTTTCCGACCACCTACCTGGACTAATGAGTCACTTTTTGACGGCCTTTCCATATAATGAGACTTGAGAAGCACCGAATCTGCGTCGCTCGGTCTCACTTCATCTAATTTCATGTAATACTCCCCTTTCCCCTGCTGACCCCGAGTCACTCCTTTGGTTCTGTTTCCTTTGTCGCTCTCTTGCCTTCTCCGCGACCCCTTCCCGTATTGATGGATTCGCATTTAGTTCCATGGTGCTTGAAGTAGCCATACCCTTCCGTCTTACCTTCACTGCCCGTCAAGCCAGGCCTTCGGTTTCCAATTTGCTGGCAGGTTTTGTTCTTGCATTTGTTGATACCCCCACATCAGCGAGAGTTTGAAGGAGTTTGCCTTGAGCGCCGGTCAAATGCTAGTATTTGATTTGTGCAGATTTGCGTCTTTGATAGAAATCAAGCACTCCCGTTTCAGTTCAATGCACATATTGGCATATAGAATATTTATTGTCCTTGTTAGGGTGTATTGTCATCACAAGCAATTTCGTCCATTTTTAATGACTATGTTTCATGTCTACATGGTTCCGAGAATCATTGTTGAGTTTCTTGGATACAGTAAGGTACTCTGTAGATACGAGGTAGGCATGAGACTATGTCCATACCTCGTATTTGATTGGCCACGGCTCAGCAGATCAAAGTAGGTGAAGGGCTGTGACCAGCCTGAGGCATGAGTCAGGCATTTAGACGGCATCTGCCTGTCCAGACCGTTCGCTATTCATAAGCGACGGAGCGGCGGATCACGTCATCCAAATAATGCTGCACTGGAATCTGAGTGAAACTGCACTCACTTTTCCCGCCCAACAACCCTTGTGTGTCCCGACCGGCGAGCCATTCCCTCCCATCCCCGAATCATTGATTGATTACTGTGTAAGATAGTTATTCTGCAAGAAGTCTCCTGTCAACATGACAAATCCGTCGAATCTGCTGCGCCTTTCCCGCGGAATGGGAACTTGGTAAGCTACAGCTTCTTCCCCCTTTCGAATCTTCTTCCACCGCCTGGCTTCGACCGCGGGGATTAGTCAGAGGCGGCCAACGTCATTTGCGCCCACCCATAAAAACTGCGGATTGCAGCCCCTCCTTTTCGGCCTCAGCCCCTCCTCAACCCATTCCGAGCTAATCTCTTCTGTCCCGAATTCTTCTCAGTCTTAAACCATCCGTTCGCCTGTCTTCTTCTTCTTCCGTCTCTGCTAGAATTTCCACTCCATCCTCTACATTCTTACGTTCCAACAAATTCGTCCAGCGCTTCCCCGCCGCGAACATCTTGACCCGCCGTTCTTTCTCTCATTCTCCCTCCGTCAAATTCAACCCCACACAATCCAACATGTCTAACCACGGCAACGTTCACCAAATCAAGACGTGAGCTCCCCTCTCTGCCTCACAGATCAGCCACCTCCAGTATAACTGACAATTCTCTCTCTGGATAGCGCTGAGGAGTTCAAGGAGAAGGTCCTCAACTCCCAGGACACCGTCGTCCTCGACTGCTTCGCCGAGTGGTGCGGTCCCTGCAAGGCCATCGCCCCCAAGGTCGCTGAATTCAGCGAGCGCTACCCCCAGGCCAAGTTCTACATGATCGACGTCGACGAGCTCTCCGACGTTGCCGCCGAGCTCGGTGTCCGCGCCATGCCCACCTTCATGCTGTTCAAGGAGGGCCAGAAGGTTAACGATGTCGTCGGTGCCAACCCTCCTGCTCTGGAGGCTGGTATCAAGGCTCTCATTGCTTAGATTTGAGCGGAGTGGTGTCGTTTTGTGTGTCTAGGAATTTATGAAATGATAATATTTTGAGCAATTCTTTTTGTGGTTGGTTGTAGGTTGTGTTGGTGGTGTAGTGGCTTTATTGGAGTTTGGGGGGATGGGTTTCTGCAGAATGTTCGTTAGTGTTCGCAGCGTTCGCCTTGGTGGTAGTATTACAGTGATGGTTGCATGGCTCGTGTTGTGTCTGGTTCAATGTTAACAATCATGTTATCTTGTATACATTGTGCAACGCAGCCTAGCAATACATAGAAATGCACCCGCTACTGAGTCTTATCTCCCCAAGGAAAGTGCTGTCAATTACACCCAAGTACTCCTAGATCTGATCTACACCTTGCATAGAAACAACCCTCACGAAAGCTTTTACTTTGTAATGCAATCCATGCATGCAAACATAACCCCGCCTTGGAGAGTGATTCGCTCGCTGCATGCCAAACCCATCGTCTCCACTCCCATACTACCTACTTTGTACATTACAACCCACCATGCATGATACATCTCCATCATGCACCAAGCATCGCTCCGCTAAGGACTGTTGGAGTCTGCTTTGCTCAGCCAGGATCCAGCTATGTAATCCCCATCTCTGTACTCCGGAATCCGGATGCCGAGTCCGAACAGAGCTGAATATGACATCGACGAGCAAAGTATAATCCAGGTCAGTGGAAGGTGAAAACAGTTTTTGGCGCTTGGTGGTGAGCTTGAGACCACTCGACTTGTGACATTGCTTGTTTCCCGAATCTCTGGACACATATTATATGTACCCTCACGCCCCGGCATCAGAGCTATATGGGGGGTTATATCGGCTATCTTGTGGCTCGCTTTGACCCGGAATGCGATTGGTCCGACGCGATGATGGTCGGGTTTTGTCTTGTTGGATGGATTTCATGGATATGGTATGGTCGGACGGGGTGCCGGTACTCAGGTCCGCTGCTATAGTCGAGTTTCCTTGCTTGTGATTTCCCTGCCGTAGCTTGGGAAGTACGGTTCGTTTTTCCAGCAAAGCATTGGGATATGCAGATCTACCTTAGTCCTGCCAGTGAAACATCGGTGGATACTTTCGGCAGGGCCATCACCTGCAGCCTGAAGGACCTTTGCTGATGTTCAGATGTTAGTTCTGAGGGCCTGATGGAATGGAGTTATGCATGGCCTGAGTAGTATGGTACCCATGCAGTTCTCGGAATATCACCTGAGTTTTGGTCCTTTGGGTTGGCCCGAATTGGGAACTTGTGAAGCCAGTATTTGGCTGGCGCTGAATGCCTGGATTGGATTTTCATTTGCTAGGCCTGGGATCAGTGGTAGCTTTGTTTTTGGAAAGGCATGCGAGGCTGCGAGGGCTGCGGTTGAGAACCAAGAAGCACAGCCACGAGCTGATAAGACTTGTACTTGCGATGGTTTGTTTGGGGTTTATCGATAGTGGTATCGTTTTTTGAGGGGGGCCTAGGATGAATTGGATCTTGCCCCTGTACTCGAGCCTGTCACGAACCCTCTGTGGCGGCATCAGAATGGTAGGCAGGTATGTCTGTAGCTCCCTGCTCGATTTTTCTCGAGCGAGAGAACCGACTCTTCTGATACAAAAGCTTTCACTCAGTACATACTGGTACACCCTTCGTCCGTAGCTTTCTCCGCTCCAGGTCGTCGTCAGGAGCTCCAACGCATTTGTCCAAATCCGTGTTTGCTGGATCGCCCAGGAGATGCACTCGATGGCAGACTAGGGTGATTGTAAGCGTTGACTGCGCGATACAGGAAGATCGATATGGTTTGATGGCGCTAAACAGGGTAGAGAAGAGCAACGAGTTGACCTAGTAGTTCGTCTACTCCGTTGTCGTTCCAGATCAGATAACCATTGAATTAGGCAGACAGGCCGAGTCACATACGTTCGGCACATGATTTAGCTAACACGCATGCAGGTACTATATGTATGCCCCTGCATGAAAATGCATGCACTGTGCATGCAACACCGATCACAGGGAGGGGGGACTTCATCGTGCTTCGTACAGTACAGTACATACTACCTAAACAATGGATCAGGGTGTACTGCATTCTGTGTCTATAACAATGCTGGAGAGGAAACCGGGTGTCCGATTTCCCCTTTTCATCAATATATTCAATCAAACACACTCCGACGGCTTTCAAGCAATTAGTAGTCGAGATTGTTTAATATAGAGATTAATCAATCAACTCCACTAGTTGATTTAACCCCTCACTGGCCAGCACCAGTACCTGCAGCCAACTAGGGGTGTCGGCTAGTAGCAACGACATATATTACTTTTTTTTCTAAATTAGTTGTTCCGGGATTTGTGTCCGGTTCTTCCGGCGGGAATACTAACTTATCAGTGGTGCTCAATGCCTGTTGTTGTTGTGCGGTACAGTACTGGCTGTGCTGTAGCTAGTAGTCAGGATTGTATTTCTGCCATTCAGAAGCCGCAACATGAAAACGAGCATTGTCCCCCCCCCGGCCACATTCGATAAAGGGTCAGCAGAATATCTCGCAAGAGATATATGACCACAACTATCAACTCTGTATTATGGTTCACGAATATTCACGATGGGAGTCGGTGATCGGAAACACAGGAATCTCGGCTAGGTAGGCTGCTAGCTCCTTTGAGATTTGAGGAGAGCTGTTTCGTCTGAGGGACAAGAGCGGGGATGTTTTCCTGGTTTCCTAGGTTTGGACTCTGGACGAGCACTGAGGACTTCGGCTGGTGCCGCCGACCGATCGCCCTGTGCAGTGTGCAGTGGTTCTGAAGTGGTACTTCCAATGTCAATCTGAAACTCGCTTGCGTGGAAGGTTCTTGCGGTGACAGGTTTGTGCGGTGTTAAATATGGAGTCTGGCATATGGGCTGATCTGCTCTGCCGAAGTCGCATGTGGGGGCGGGCGGGCGAGAGATATGCGATATGCGGCGTTATGTTTTGTGGTGGCCGGATATGCAGGTGGGATGGATGGAGAGGAGGAAGAGGAGGTGGTTCGCGAGGGTGGATGTGGGGCTTTCCCTGCTGTGCATGTTACTATGTATGTATTTCGATGAGGTGGTGGTTTTGTTGCATTTGGTGTAGGGATACGCAGAAGTAATCATGGCTGGTGTTTGGTGAAAAAAGATCGAACTAAAATACAAAAAGAAAAACCGACTGAAAGCGTAGATCATGCAGTAGACTCAAGAATATGGTTGCTTTGACCTGTCGACTTGCAGAAGCTACCCGCGAACTGAATTGCTAGCCCAACTCGTAGCATACATAATTTGTCATGGGCGAACTCCTCAAAATTGAGATCTATATGCTGTCCATGCTCGTTACTGTGCTGGGTTTGTTTGTTTGGGTCGTGCATGGTACTAGTAGTTATGGGTTGAAACCCCGAAGTACTCAACCAGTGTGGACTGACTGATTAGATCCAGCGCATCGAGTCATCATACTGCTGAGCATGCACCTCCAAAGGCTATTGACCCCGTGCAGACAGTAATGCCGACCTGTAACCACCGAACGTGCATACAAGTCAGGCATTCGACTACATGCAGGAGTGAATCAGTCGCTCTCAAGTCGAGCAGCTAGTTCGTGTAGAATTCAATACGTCCCTCAACAGCGAACTATACTGACCTCTAGCACACCTAGTCACTTACAGATCATAATAAACAAGTCAATCAAGCATACTCAGACTCAAACTTCCCCAAGTCAAAGTCTATCTCCCTTCACAACTTCAAAATTGAGGCCCTTTCTCGAACCCAAAGTTCAGACTCGGTAACTTCCGTGGCGTCAGTACCTGACCAGATAACTCGACGCTAAGCCTCTTCCGGATACCACGAGGTCGGTCCCTGAACCTGTACGATCTTTATCAATCTCTGCGATCGCTTATTGTCATCTTAATCTGTGGTCCGACCATGAGCATTGGTCTGGACTGGATGGACACCAACGACCCAAACAAAAAAAAAAAAAGATAATTCCACCACAGCATGTTTTGCCGAAGGTCCGCGACTTCTCCCATGTTTCCGCCACCGAGAGTATATCGAATTGGGTCCGGGTCACACGGTGGTCGTTGCGTCTAGAACCAAGCCACTAGGGGCGAAAGTGAGTTTCGGTTCGTGCTAAAGCCTTGCCTCAATTCGAATCGTAGCCCGAGATAAACAAGGCAGCCAGACGAGATGCTGGCCAGCCATGAGTTCGTTACCTTGGTTTATCGCCCACGGTGGTTTCTCTCCGGACCGGGAGCCGTCCAGTGCGTGGCACTACAGAAGAAAAAAATGTCAGCGGGTGGGTTGCTTCGATGGACAAGCCAAAAGTGGCCGGGTTTCAAGTCCATACTGTGTGCCGTAGGAACTGTGGTAAACAAGGACGGTTTCGAAGTCGCATAGTCTGAGAACGAGTCAGATGTGTGGAGATGAACGTGACAGCGGAGCTTGACTCTAATCGCTTATGGTGGGCTGCTGGAGTCTCTCCTCATGAACGAAGATGAGGAGGGAGCATCGCTTGGATGGAAGCTGCCGCTAGCCTCGATCTGGCGTTTGGCCACGATTGGGAAAGTCTCGGGCCGCTAAACCTTTCTGGGACTGTAGTCCTTCTGGCCGGGGAACTCTCAATTCCTCTTGCTCCACTTCACAGATTTTGCTCCTAGTGTCTCACCTGTGACTGCCAGCCTGATCTCCCAGACTGCCACTCATCTTCTAAGTGGGTTAACCTCGGCCTCAATTGCTACGGGTATGCGCACTAACCACCCCAGGGTCCTTCCCATGTGGTGATTTCCCCGAGACTCTTGTCCCAATTGTTGTGTCATCGCCTCCAAGCCACTGCAGCATCCTGGTTCACACCGGCGTCATGGGTAGCTAGCGATGGAGATATGTCCCGATCTGTTTGGTCGATACCGCCGGCTGTGATCCTTGGAACTGTCTGGTTCTCATCCTTCAGAGACGGACTTCAGTAGTTTCTGGCCATCAGGCCTGGATGACGACTACCAAGGCACTGGTTTAGTGCGCACATCCTTCGGCTCGGGGCCTTAATTCGCTCTGCGTCCAAATTAGCAAGGCTGTTACTCCGTACAGATATTTGAATTAATGAGCAAAATGCCACACTTGACTCGCGTCCACCACCTGGCCTTCCTATCTGCCCGTAGTGAGTGGGTAGAGCAAATGACCCGTCGGAGAGGAGCGAGCACGAGCGCAATCTACAATCAAGCGACGGCGCCGCCGACCTAAATTCCTCCAGCCCATATGCCCGAGAATTGGCCAGATCATATACCCTGATACGCCAGTGGTCAGTGTCTGGACCCAGTTTTTGTAAATTAACATTCAGCTGCTGTGGCTGACTGGGTTGCAAATGAGCACCACAGTCATCCCAGGCCGTGGTTGATTGGCAGGGCTGGATCGTGACTCGCCAGTGTCAGTCCCCACTCCATCGTTCCTGATCACAGGATTTCTGGAACCGATTTACTGCTGCAATCGGACCCAGTCTTGGCTACTGAAAAACATTCCCGATGGCCTCCGATCGTGCTCTCCTCCCCCTCACAGCCGTTCTTTGCCAGGCTCGCATGGCCACTGAAAAGCGGGACCTGCCTTCGTACTGCTCCGCACGCGCAAAATGAACGTCCTGAATCAAGTCTCGTAGGAGGGGAATGAATCCATGGCTTCGTGCCGATTAGCCCTGGTGAAATCTTAATATATTCTTTGCCCTTAAATGCAGCATGCCCCGAGATCCTCAGTTCTGGAGGAGTTCGGCCAGACCCGCGAATTGAGTGAGTGGCACAGATATCAGCTCAACCTTCCTGTGCTATATTAAAAACATCGGCCCTTGTGAACAACGGGGCTTCCCCGTATCGGGTTCATTCCTCATTCTTTCCTTAGACATCAATGCGCCATTGACCTTCCGCTCTCTTGTAAACCTCTAGGCTCAATGTCCTAGATGCAGTGACTCGACCTTTATCGTTCTCTTGTGGTTCTTACCCTCTTCGGCGAACTTGGCTGTCAACTGAACCCCTTGTTGAGAGGATGCGGCTCACCGACAGATTCCTCCAAGAGTCAATCTCTGTGTCCTACCTCGGGGGCTATATCTTTCTTTCATATGTCGTGAGCATGATGGGATGTACCACCACCCTGGAGCTGCTTCACCGGCGGACTTCCAGGGCGGGTTTGTACAATTGGTAAGTTACTGTTCCTCTCTGCCACTTGCGGCTCCGGCCTTCTCTGACCTTTAGCCAGGTATCTTCTCCTTACCTCCTCACTCGTTATGGGAGGCATTGGCATCTGGTGCATGCACTTTATTGGGAATCGCGCCATTGTCCTCGGAGACGGTAGCTCTCAAATCCAGATCGTCTATAGCATGACCTTTACTGGTGTCTCCTTCGTACTACCGGTTGTCGTTCTACTTGTTGCCTTCTACTCGATCGGCGCCAGCGAGGAGACGAGCCATATTCGCATATCCATGGGCGGCGTACTCGCCGGCGGCGCGGTTTGCGGGATGCATTACATTGGTCAGCTGGGCATCAGCAACTACCGATGCTCCTATAACGTTGCCAATGTCGTCGGTGCCACCCTCATTGCCATTTTCGCTAGTACGACGGCACTGACAGTCTTCTTCCGGTGGAAAGCTACTTGGACGGACAGCTGGTGGAGACGAGGCATCTGTGGCTGTTTCCTGGCCTGTGCCGTCTCTGGTATGCACTGGACTGCTGCCGTAGGCACTACCTACTGGGAACATGATGCCACTATTCATCACAGCAGCCAGCTTTCCAGGAGCCAAACCGTTATTATCTGTGCTGTTCTGGTAGGTCACCTTGGATTCTGGGTTAGAATTTCATTCTAACGGCATATAGGCATGCGCTGCTTGCGGGATCTTAACCTGTTGCGCGGTAGTGGCTGGTGGTAGTCGGAGACGGCTGCAAACACAAGCTCGGCAGCTCGTCCTGAGTGGTGTCTTCTTCGACGCGGAAGGACGCATCATGGTCACGCCCCATGCAATGCTTCCTAATCGCAAGATTGTCGATCGCTACCTTGGCAAGGTACGTCAGGCTCGGCAAGCCTCGGTTGACTGATTTTGACTGACGTATCCTGGAACTACTCAGACCTTTAACGATGATGATTTAACACGGTCTCACTCGGCTTTCCTCTGGGCCTTCCGAGCCAGCAGGAACTGGAATGTTGTCAGGGATGTGGTACCTTTCATGAGAGCTCGGTTAGAGACGGACGATTACTTCACCAAAGGAGACGGGCTGGACGAGGAGAACGAGCTCCAGACAGACTTCGACGAGCTTTTCAAGCGCCATTTCTGCGTTGCCGCGCAAGATCTAGCCGACGAGCTGCGCCAGCCATTGCCGAGCCTCGGGATGCTATATAATGATGTTTTGACCACAAGTGCCCCTGGCTCGTGCTTTGGGCGAGCCATGGGCTATGCTCGGCTCGGTGGGAGTAAGGGGCAGATGATGTTCACGGTTCGGCACTTGAGCAAACAGGAAGCCAATCGCATGGCCGCGGCCGGGTATCGCTTCACCGCGATTGAAAACGTTACCTCCGCGTTGTCCAGTCGCATGCACATTCCCGCACCAACCTTGGGGATGCATCTTCGAGATATGCGCGACTACGCCACATCCGGCCACAGCTATCTGCCCGGGGTCCATCTGGTATCATTTGTCATGCGGCCCACCATCTACGACCACTTCGAGGTGCTCACAGCCAAGGGAACCGGCAATCCTCTACCTTCGGCGACTTTATCGATCAAGCGACTCCAATTTCAACATCTCGATCTCTTATCCCACCTGGAAGGATGGACTATATCGACCTGCATGACCTGGCTTCGATCGGCTGCGGCACAAGCAAACGAAGAGGCGGATGAGTTTCGCGAGCAGCTCATTCATGCCATGGCGACCCTCTCTACCACACTCCCGCCGGATATCAACCTTGTTGCGCGGTTCTCAGCTCGACCGCTGATTGCACCCTGCCGTACGCCTAACACCATGGACGCCACCAGCTGTACACTTCTCTCGTTCTGCGTCGTCGGCAACTTGGACACTCAGGTCTCGAATCCGAACTACACCTTCGCGCCTTTGCGCCTGTTCCGCGTCCAGCAGCAACTGAACGAGGCCCCTGGTGGCGGAGAGGGCTTTGCCAAGGAACTCGGCAAAGAGCTGTACTATTCCGACGCGCGCACCAGCTCGGCGACGGACTCCGAACTCACGGCCTCTCCTATTAAATCATCCGTCTTCAAGTTCTGGCCAATGCGCAAGCCATCGACCCCGGTGGTGCAGCAACGGTCGCCGGACAGCTGGTCGGATATCTCGCCTTTGGGCGATATCATGGTTCGCAAGGAGGTCAAGGTCGATGTGGCCAAGCTTTCGGAACAGACGCTCAACACGGCGCGACATGCCTCTCGGACGACAGTGGTAGCTGGAGATATGGCGTACAGCACATATGTGGATGAATTGTACAATCTGTGCTATTCGTCGGGAATTCGACTGCGGCCGGATGCAGATCTCCAGGTTGTAATGACTGGATGAGGTGATGACCATTCCGGAAAATACAATCGAATACTATCAACAATGTTAAGAGATGACCGCACCCGACGGGAACAGCTGTGGCTTTTGCAGAGCAAGCACGATCGCACGAACTTGTTTGCAGAGCAGGAAAGGTACCTTCCCATGGTACGACTTTCTGAAGGGTCGATCTGAGCTGATTGGCACCTTGCCAGTCTCCCTCATTGTCTCAAGATTGAATGCCCATGTTGGCATTGGTGCTTGCGGGCACCCAAATGCAAGACACGAGGTGGCTTCTGGGCACAACCTGTCGCATCAGTGCAGATGCTTGTGATGGCATTACCATCCGGGCTCACGCACCTTCTCACTCGATATCTCACTTGAGTTACGACCAACTCCTCATTCCTGACTCATGTTCTGCATAAGGTCTAGAGAGGAGATAACTCATCATCAACAAATTCTGCTGTACTATTTCTCACAAGCGGGGATTAAACATTTGTACATTTACCAGACATACTAGTTTCTCAGATAGATAATGCTGAAGAAGATTGGGACAATCTATAGAACATGACTAGAATTTCCTTGAATTAAAGAGCTCAAGTGGTTCGGACTTATGGTCTGGTGTATTGTAACTACCTTCTGCATGATGCCATCACTCTCAGTGCTCAACGATAGTGAAACCTCGCGGAGAATACAACCACTTCGCTGTTCACCTGATATTTGGGATGACCTTGATACCACCAGAAGCCTATGTGCTGGATAGAAAACAAAAACTCGGTTGACGAATCAGGACCCAGGTCCCCTAGCAGATGATCAGTTCAGCGAGGGTCATCGGTCATGGCATGTTAGTCGTTGAACTTGCGATGGAGATCTAGGAGTATTCAGCGCCGTCACAATTTCTGTGAACTCGTCTTTGTCAGATACAGTACATACTCTAAGCCCGGTTGGGTTAACTATCTATCAACTAAGATAGACACATGCAGAGAAAGTTACAGTACACCCCAACTACCCTCCGTGCCAGCTCAGCTAGCGTATCCCAACTTGACACACCTGTGAGCAAGACCGTATGAATCAGCCTCTTTGCCATTTGTTAGTCAACGTTGTTGGTCATGTGGATACTAGTATGGGCCAAGCACCCGGGGTATTTAGAATAGCTTAAGTTCTTTTTCACGACTTCAACTTCTATTGTTTATCCGCCAATGTGCATCACCACATAGTGGGAAAGGGGGTCTGGTAGTTTTGATTAACGTGTTGCAAGTTGCTAGCGGACGGGGCATCTGCGAATGTGAGATCAGTTGTGTGGAGTGAAATTTCGGCGGAATCTGGAAGCCCTCAGCCAGCATCTGAGGCTAGGTTCGGAAATTCCGGAATAGAAGCTCCATGTTCTGATTTTCTCAAGCAATAGAATTTGGCCAGGACTCGCATCAGGCCCTTGGTTGAGTGCAAATTCGGCAATCCTGAATCCTGGGAGATGCACAGCAGGAACAGGGGAAGAGGGCAGCTCTAGGCCATTACTGCGGAGCCTGCAAAGCAAGTTGAGATGGTGGTAGGAGGCGGAGACCAGGTGCCGAAATTGGCGTCAAGGGGGTCGAACAAGGTCGAACCGAATCTCGCCGAGAGATTCCATGCTTGAGTAGCTGACAACTATTAGTATCCTCGGGTTCAAAGTCTAGGGCGGCACTCGCGATTCCGGGCGACGCATCTTGCTCGGACTGTTCCACGCAAGGGCTAGTATACACACACACACACACACACACACACACGCACAAACACACACACACACATATTGTGGCGCAGAGAGCATCGCGCGCATGTGGGACGTTTTAGATTACACTTCAGCGATGTTCCTGTTGATGTATCAGTTGGAGGTGACGGAGGGTTGAGATAGTAGCATGAATGACTCAAAGACATGATACGGTGATTGAACAGAAACCCCCACATCAGACACTCCATCTTCGTATTGTTGAATTGGCCTTCCTGTGTGTATCGGAGCTCTGTTCTCGGTTCCTGGGTGGCTGGTTTCACGCAAGCTGGACTGTTATCTGGAGGGGAAGCAGTGGGGACACATTTACAGTATAAGGGAACGAAGCTGAGCTTGGAGTTCCGGGTGGACGAATGGTGGAGAGCAATTGCGTGCTCCGAAGCAGTTATTGGAGGCAGCCTAGGACTTTCGTCCTAAGAGAGAGGTAGTATGGCCGGGATGAGGCCCTAAGCCCAGCAGTAGTAACTACAGTACGGTGTACTCAAGGGGAGGATTGTTGCTACTACGCGACCCTACATTTCTTCTCACACTTAGGATCCAGACAAACTTGGCGGCCGCGATAGCGTCTGGGGTAATTGTAGCCATCCGAGCAGTTCCGGTAAGGAGCGCCGAAGTCCAGCTTCGGTGATACCGGAACATAATCTAGAAAGTCCATACTCTGGTGGGTGCCACCATCTTTACTCTACAGAGTCAATTTGGTTATCATCGATTGTAACCCCAACTGTGCCTGGTTAAAATAAGCACAGGCACGCAAAGTGTTCAATTAGTTTAAGTATATCATGCTGATTATTCTTGTGATATCTGCAGGGCATGCGAGTTCCCTGATGCTAATGAATTATGCGAGGGTTCATGTGATGGATCTTGAAGAGAAATGCCCAGCCCGTGGGGGATGACAACGCCGCATGATGAGAATGATGTTATGTATTTCCGGGCCCGCCACGAGTGCGGTGGTCAGAGGCTGAGAGAGAAATTGTATCGAATCGTGCTGCTATAGTGGTATCATAAATGGTCCGAAAGTCGAATTGTCCCGGAGATCTTGTTGTCTGATATGTAAAAGAAGGGAATCAATGAGGATGCATCAAGGATAGTGGATCATGTGCAAGGTCTAATCGCTGGAAGCATGCATGAAGCAGGTATGGCAAACGGGTATGGTGACAGCGGAGAAAAACAAAGTATGCAGGGCCAAACGCTCTAATGACAGATGCTCCAGACACCCAACGCGCTCAATAATGCAATAGCCAGAAAATGGTGCCATGTATCGGGAAAGTAGATGGTGGTCGTTAGCTTCGTATGCGTGAGTGGTGACACTCTGCCAATGTGGATAAGGCTCGGTCTGATTTAACCAGCCCTGGGAGCGTTGCGGCTCCTTGACAGTCGCTGGCTTCGTCGCGGCGCCGCCTTGGGCTCTTCACTCGACTCAGCCGGCGGTCGACTAGCGGTTTCTGGAGGAGGGAGAGGTGCTGCTCTGAACTTGATCTTGAGCTTTGGGTCCTTTTTCGGACGATCAGTGCCGTCAGTGGCTGACTCGACCGAGCTAGATTCAGTTTGTTCGGTGGGCGTGCTGCCTGGGGACTGCTTTTTGGGGGCGACCGTATCAGGGCTGACCCGTAGCCGCAATGAGACCAGATCATTTTGTTCATCTCTAAAGGCAATCCCGACCGTCACATCGGGGAGGATCCGTCGTTTCGTTTCTCGAGCCCGCGTGCGCCGAACAGCAGGCTGAGGATTCTCTTCAGCCTCTGATTCATCAGCAGAGCGCTTACTGCCCGTACTGAACGGGGATGAAGACCGTGATGAAGGTTGGAGGCGCGATTTCATGATCGCCTTTGAGGTGGGCGCATCTGCTTCGCTATGATTGGCGTCTTCTCCGAGCAGATTGATGAAGGCCCTGTCTATATTACCACGACACTGTTGCAGCATGCCCACAATGGTCTCGCGATCATATTTACCTCCAAGACCCTCTTGAATAGCCGAGATCTTCCACGGAGTGGCCACATCCACCACTGTCGAGCTGGCAGAAGAAGCTTCTTTCTGACGCTCCTTGTCAATGGGTGTTATGGAAGGTGGCCCTGTATGCGGTCCACTGGTATGACGGACCGATGAATAATGATGAAAATCCTACGCGGGCGGGTCAGACCTTCGATTACGAAACAAGGTTAGCGGTACTTACGTGGAACGCGATGTGCACTTTCTCTCTGTGCTCATCGATGGGCGCATGAACGTCACGGAAGTTTTGAATCCCATACATCGTATAGACATCCACATCTCTTTTGAAAGATTGACAGAATGCTTGAATCTCTTCGGCACCGCCCCAGACGCCCTTTTTCCTTGATTCAGCAACCTTGTTGTCGAAGCTCCGCTCCTTGTCCAAAGCTGAGGGTGGCGCGGGACTTGCGGATGACGAAGAACAGTACGTCTGCCTAGCTGCTCTAGCTGCTGCCCGGCGTGGCGCCCTGCGTTCTCCGCCGGAGGCAGCTATGAAACTCATGAAGTAGTCCTTGTTGGCCAAAATGTGATCCGCGAGACGAACGCGGATTTGGTCAGCGTGGAGAAAGTCGCCGTATAGTTGATCGGAGAGAGCGTAGTACAGACAGTTGCCTACAATTGAGAGTCAGAAAGCAGGATACACTACAAGAAAAGCGCCAAGAACCAAGCTCGTAGCCCAATGGCGGGCGAAGCGCAACGTACCGTCGCCCTCGGTAGGAAGAGCATAGAGCCCTAGCTCGTTGAGACACGGCATCTCCAGGCATTCGGCCTCGGCGTTCCTACTGCGCGCACTTTTAGACGATTTAGAGGTCTTGGATTGTGGTAGAGGTTGATTGTCCACGGGCTCATCGGCAGGTGAACTCGAGTAATGCTGACGGGGAGCCGCGATTATAGGCACAATTCTGCCACCGTTCGGAATGTCCGCCATAGTTGGGTTTAGTGTCTGCTCGACGAGATGCACTCATTTGGGGAACAGAAGAAGATATAGGGAGCTTCGTCGAGCAGAGACGTGAAGTAGAAGAGGAACAATGAGGGGAGAAATAGAGAGAAAACAATAGGAAAAGTGGGTATAATAGAGAATTGGGGGGAATGAAGAATGGGGGCGAGGAGTAAATTGTTGGAGGTAAATGGAAGGAAGAAAAGGCGGGAGGAAGAAAAGCAACACACGATCTACACGCGAGACTTTTCTTTTCAGGACGGCGAACTGCGGAGGAGGCGTCCGTTATTCTCATACATGACTCTTACCCGATTTTTTATTACCATCGGAGAACACAGGCGGTGAGAGCATATCGAGGTCATGATTGGGTCATGATGAGGGCGGTACCGATACTCATCAGTAGGTTGTCATCGATGACGAAAGGTATACCCAGACTCAAAGTCCCTCACTTTTCACTCTTCCGCGGGGAGCGGTCAACTCCAGCCCAACCTTCAATCTGACAGCGCCATTGTCCCAAACACACTGTTGAAACATGTTCCATATGCATTTTCGATGAGCTGAGGCCACCTCAATGACTTGTCCGCCCACTTTCAATGCCCAAGGCCTGAAGACCCTATCAGGGCAGTAACCAACGGGTCCTGCAGATCGGTAATACCCCCCACAACACCTCCGAGTCCATCAATGAGGACGCGTTCTTTACTGTAACTTACCACTTTATCCATGTATTTGCGCGCCTCATCCTTGACCAAATCCCACAATAGAATAAGAATAGAATAACACTCTCAGTAGAATGAGGTGTCTATGAATAAGTCTGAAGAAAGACTACACCGCCCAGTCTACACAGTACATACCACACAACGGTAGAGACCGCGATCTCCCCGACGCGACTCCGCTATTGGATTCCTCTGCGTTGTTTGTGCATGAGGTGACCTGTCGGATGGTCGATTTGCAAGGAGTTGAATCTTCGGAGTAGCAAGGCTGCAGCACACGCGCATGACTGCGCAACATGGAAGTGAGCTGTCAGCGAGTCACTGGACTCGTTCCTGGGCGCGTTGTTGCCAGATCAATGGCCACACGGTTGACCTCATTGTTTTTTGCCAACCAGCTTTCTTTCCCACTCAATCCGTAACGGCGCGCCAATGGTAGTCCTGCCAATTGATCCCAATGGAGCACGGAACGAATGGACCCTGCCTGCGCTTTGGTCACTTTCATTTCAGCATGATTGGCAGGGACCTTCGTTTTGCTTCGTATCAAAGCGTGATGTCAACCTAAGTGACTGCACCTTGTCCAATGACTCTCCTGCAAAAGTACTGCAGTTACCGGTGTAGTTATAGCTGAGGGGAAAGTCAGCTTATCCTGCCTTGGTGCCTGAGGGAACCTGTCGACGCCGGCTTGGCAAGAAGCCCCGAGCTTCAAGCGGGGGAATTCTTATCAAGGCGGACAACAGCCGAATGCGATAAGCAGTGCTGTCCTTGGTGGCTTGACTCACAACGCTTCATTTCTCTGCTGACATTTGACTTCTTCTTGTCTTGCAGTATTCTCTGTCTTTCTCGAAGACTACATCTGCTACGCAATCGGGGAAATCAGACTTCAAAAGCTACAATCTCTCAATGGCGTCAAACAACATCGTGGTTTTGGGGTATGTCCGACAAACCCCACATTATCAGGAGCGTCGTATACATATTGACCCCTCCCAGAGCCGGCGTGTCTGGTTTAACCACGGCATATCTCCTGTCGAAAGACCGCTCGAACAGTATCACCGTGCTTGCTAAGCATATGCCCGGGGACTACGACATAGAATATGCCTCCCCGTGGGCTGGTGCCAATTATCTCCCGTACGTTTGCCGCGAAACAAGTCTGGCAGCACTTGACTGACCTGATCGAGCGATCAAGCGTGGGCAAGCGCGGCAGCGACCATGAGAAATGGGAGCGCAACACTTGGCCCGCGCTGAAGGAGTTGACCGAGAAACACCCCGAGGCAGGAATTCACTTTCAGGGTACGAAATCCCCTTGCCCAGGTTATCCATAACCGATGCTAATGCCCGATACCATCAGAAACCATCGTCTACAACCGCACAAAGGATCAAGGGTCCGCAACCGGGGACTGGTTCTCTGAACTAGTACAGAAGAACCCCTGGTATAAGGACGTCGTACCGGACGTACGTCCACCCCTCCGCTCGAGTCCCTCCCCCTAAAAACCTCTAACACAAAATCCCCACCAGTTCCAAGAACTCCCCTCCTCGCAACTAGCCCCTGGCATTGATAACGCCTCCAAATTCACCTCCGTCTGCATCAATACAGCAATCTACCTCCCCTGGCTCGTGGGCCAATGCCGCCGCAACGGTGTCATCTTCAAGCGCGCCGTACTCAAGCACATCACCGACGCCGCCCACCACACCAGCAAACCCCCAGACGTGATCGTCAACTGCACAGGCCTCGCCTCCCGCACGCTCGGCGGCGTCGCAGACGCCAAACTCTACCCGGCGCGGGGCCAGATCGTCGTGGTCCGCAACGATCCCGGCAAAATGGTCTCGATCTCCGGCTCCGACGACGGCCCCGACGAGGTCGTCTACATGATGACGCGCGCTGCGGGTGGCGGCACCGTCATCGGCGGCTCCTACCAGAAGCACCAGTGGGATCCCCTGCCGGACCCCAACCTTGCAGTGCGCATCATGAAGCGCGCGGTCGCGCTGTGTCCTGAGCTGGTGCAGCCCGGCCAGGGCGTCGAGGGCCTGGATGTTGTCCGCCATGGGGTCGGGCTGCGGCCCCTTCGCGAGGGCGGGCCCCGCGTCGAGGCGGAGCGCATCGATGGCGTCGCGGTCGTGCACAACTATGGGCATGGAGGCTTTGGGTACCAGGCTTCATTTGGCTGTGCGGGTGATGCGGTGAGTTTGGTGAAGGAGGCGTTGGCGCGGAAGGGGAGGGATGCTAAGCTCTAGCTTTCTGCGGGGGAGAAGAGTTTGGTACTGTATTGTACATATCTATGTGGTACTCGATCATGACTGTGTATACACATGCTACCTCATAGGAGCGATCTAGTTCCTCCCTACAGATCAATCCTTTAAAAGAGAAAAAGCTAATGCGCAGCGTTGGTATCAGCACAATGCCAAGCTTCCCCGCAACAAGTTACTGTGTACGAACGACAGCACATGGAGAGAGCGGGAGGAGGTGGGGAGTCTCTGAATTCATCATGACGCCATAACCCATCCAGGATAGAAGTTACGCGACTTGGGGAATTTAAGCACTATACACCTACACATCCCTCAAATCAATAACCTCGCAGTGTGAAGCAAACTACTGCTATACACAGCAGCCAAACCACTCTCTACACAGTCGGCAAAATCCTAGTTCACCGAGAGAGCACAACCACCGAAGCCATAATCACTACATCTCGAAATAGGAGTCGACACCTGGCCTGAAAATGAAGTACAAGCCCCCGCAGGTCGAGGACTATTCTGAAACGGACAGCACACCGATCCCCCCGAAGCGCAAGCTCGACCAACGGGATCCTGGATCTGGATCGAGCACTGGACAGGCTAGCGCCCGAGCCGAATATGATCAACCCCCTAGCAAAGCAGCTAAGAAGGGTGTGGAGGGTAATGAAGGGGCCGAGGAGGATGTGATTAAGAGTGCGGCGGGTGAGGAGGACGATGGGTATGATGGGCAGGTTGAGAGTGAAGTTGATGATGAGGGGAAGGGGATCAATGATGAGCAGATGGAAGAAGATGATGATGATCGACTAGAAAAAGAAGAGGAGGAGGAGGAGGAGGAGGAGGAGGGAGAAGTAGAGGAAGAGGACAATGACCAAGAAAGGAATGAATCAGGATCAGGAAACTCCACAATATCCAAGCCGAAGCTGCATAAAGCGGTGCAGGACTACGGTCGTCCTCCTCTCTACGGAACGGCCATCGCAGAAGGAAAACTACAAGGATCACCAGATACGCTTCTCGCAATGGTCATCGACGCGATGCTGAAGTCGCGCCCGATCTCGCATGACCTTTCGCAGCGCGCGGTCAATCATCTGATTGAAGTTGGGTTTCATGATATCCAGAAGCTGAGCGAAAGTAGCTGGGAAGAGAGGGCGATGGCTTTGAAAGATGGCGGCTACAATCGATACAGAGAGCAAGGCTCGACGAATCTGGGGGAGATGGCGAATCTGATTAATGACAAATATGGTAAGTGTTGGTCGAAGGTGGTTAGTCTTGATGGTGTCAATCTGAGCTAACAGAGCGCAACATGTAGAGGGTGATCTCAACAATCTGTTGAGAAAGGCGAACAACGACCGGAATAAGACCAGGCAGCTAATCAAGGAGATCAAGGGTCTTGGAGATCTCGGAGCGGATCTCTTCCTCAACAATGTTCAGAGCGTCTGGCCCTCAATGGCCCCGTTTATTGACAGGCGCAGTCTGGAGACGGCAGATAAGGTCGGGCTGGGCACGGACTTGGATGCGATCTATGCGGAGCTGGGACGCGACTCGGTGAGCATGAGCCGTCTCGCGAATGGGCTGTCTGCTGTGAGGCTTGAAAGGAAACAGAGTGATCTCATGGCATTATGAATGTTGAATGTTTACCCATTTCTACCTGTGTTCCGTCACATGTCGAAGGTATAGCTGGATACATTTGCTCCGGCCTCCCCTGTCATATACCACAACTTGACATTCCCATCGGACAGCGTTCACTGGGATTCTCCACTTATCAGATGGTTTTCTGCATGGGATCTGAAAGCATCCAATCCATCATCTCACAAAGCGGATAATATCACGGCAACCTAGCGTCAAGTATGACGTCGACGGCTGTAGCGAGGCCCAAGTGTCAACATAGAGTGTCCCTTGAGACATGAAGCATTGCTGAAATACAAGTAGCTCTAGATATAGCGAGTACCAATTGCTCAATACGAGATTTCAATCTCAAACACCACAATAAATACAGCTTGGCTCTCGATGCAACATGAGTGCAATGATTTCGTTTGAAAGCGAGCGCATCCGGTGGCTGCTGAGTCATCGGTAGGGTAGCCTTGGCAGACCCACAGCTTGCGACAACGCGACGAGAGCTTAAGCCTCACCATCTTTCCGATCTCCCTTCCGCTTCTCTCTCTCTTCCATTTCTCTGCTGCTACCTGTATAGGATCCTCAGCTTTCAACCTCAAAGGTGAGTCCTCCATCGTTCCTGTGATTGCCGAGAGCAATTTAGGGCGGTTTCACTAACACGGTTATCGTCCATCTAGCTACCTTAGGTATGACCGATCGGCGACAGTCCATCTCCGCTTGTGCCGGTTCTCAGCATTGAATCCCAACTTACGTGATTGCTTCCAGACACATCTCCCCTCATCTTGCCTCACCCAACTTCGTCTATCACTATAACGAAACTCATCGATCGTCCAATATATACACAACTGCTCTGAACCAGTCGCAAAAATGGATCTATCTAACATCTTGTACGTCGGATAATGCCGGTCTCCAGACCCGTCGCCGTCAGGCACAAGGCCTAACAATTAATTGATTCTTAGTCGGATCGTCAACATCGTTGTCGGTGTGCTCATGGTCCTCGGTGGTATCTCCCAGTTCTTCCCTGCGACCATGAGCACCATCATTGTTGGCGTCTATGTTATCATCTTTGGTCTCAGTAAGTTGGCTCATTCGTCTTCGCCAAAGATGCCATCGTGAGATGTAGGAGCTGCATACTGATGCGATTTAGTCGTTGGCGGACTGGAATTTCTACCCAACGTCCCCGACTACGTGTACCGCTATGCGTCTTTCCTCTTCTCTTTCCTGGGACGGGGCGGCTGTGAGTCTCACTGCGCTTGAATGAACCTGTATGGTCACGCTGACAGTGAACCAGTCTACATCTTCGTCGGATCGATCCTCTTGCATGATAGCATCTTGCGGATCATCGCGGGCTCTATCGTTGGCTTCATCGGTCTGGGCTACATCGCCCTGGAGTTCATTCCCTCCATCGAGCCTCCGTCAAACATGCGTGAGACCGACCAGGGCTGGGGTGCCGAGCAGGTCTAAAAACGGCTTGTGGTTGTTGTGCGCGCGCCTCTTAGAAAGCAGGAGGCGGGTGGCCTTGCGATGTCCGCACGCGTGGCTGACCAAGGTTGCTACTTCTCAGAGAAGAAACGGCCTTAGTTGTTATGAGCGGGCGAACATCGGGTCAAGTCAGTTTCACCTTTCTGGAATAAGGTGCGTTCTGCCGTCGGTAAAGTGATAAAATTCTCTTTTATGCGAACGCTTGATGATCGAACGAGTTGCGACGAATTGATATGGTATGCGATCGGTTGCGGAAGGGGTTGGCAGTGAATGAGCACAGTGAGTGGAGCGGCCTAAAAGACGCTAAAAACACACTGTCTCATGGGTTTTAAGATATATGATGATTTCTTCCCAGCCCTCTGTGGCACTGCGGGTGTGTGTATTGTACACTGGGGTATCTCTTTTAGGTTTGGGGACCAGTGATTTATACCAGCGTGAAAAGGCTTTTTTTTTTCATTCGTGTTTAAACGTGGCTTGTTATGATCATTGATCGGCCTTGTATGATTTGTAATGAGCTAGCTGTAAGAAGTTCTTGGTCGCGGTCTGAGCGCGTGGCACGACCATACAGTGGCACGACAACCCGCTAGATCATGGCTTTGTTTGCTTTCGTGAAACCCTCATGTGATGAGACTGTCTTGGATTGATACGAATTGGTCTAGACGAGGACCCTGGCAAGCTCAGGCCATGTGAGCTGATTTCCACCTCTCTTGTCGAAATATGCCATTTGCGCTAGCTACCCTAGAAATACCCATGTGTATGCTTGGGTCTTCTGATGCGTTTAAGGGCTTGCAAAAAGTATCCTCAAAAACATCAATTTTGAATACCCGAGTTTGGTTTTGACCATGCATTTATGGACCTGTGTAAGTACTAGGTAGTGATACAGATTTATGTCCTCAGTCCTCACTAGTATTTTGTACTGCAGGCGTGCATTCTTGCGCATGAATGCTTGTCGGAAATCGAATGAGCAACCCTCCTACGAAGACTAATTTTTCTCATCTGCAGTCGGTCCTCATAGCCAGTGTTCTAGATCTTACCCCGGCGATCAAGATCAATAGAACCCCCTTGGCGACGGTACTTTTGTCTGGAAATAAGCTGACAAACATCAGCGTAGATTAACTTAACTTATCAATTAGTGACTCGTCACTACTCCGTCGGGACAAGCGTCTACAGTACGGCTAGTTCACCCGTGAAAAAGTCGGTCTGGCGGAGCAAGATCGACTATCAGTTCTCACTCATCGCAAGGGCCCCTCGTTCACAGATCCGGGTGATCTTCGAAACTGTTACGGAGTACGTCTCGCGCAACAGCCTGTGCGGTGATCCTAAGGCGCGAGAGGGGCAGCTTCCCCCCGCTTGCTGTCACTGATGCTCCTCGATTCTTGTTGTCTACCGAGCAGGGCCGGAATGATTAAGGCGTTGCGCTGCTGCATGATGATCGCTCACCTCACAAGTTAGGTAGAGTAGACGCTCGACTAGGACAAGTGCATACGCGGTGCGGAAAACAATACATGATTCTATACCGCAGCGGCTGATCAAAACCTCGCTAGCGAACCTACTATTCCGTGGAAGAAAGCCACTAAAGATGTTCGGTATAGCTACTTTAGAAGCAAGAAAACAGCTGGACTGCCAACTTCAAGCTTGGTCATGAGTCGCTTATGGGCAACAAACCTTAACTAATCGCTGTTGCCTTCGGAGTTCCAGAGTTCGCTTGACGTTTTCTCTTGAATCGGGGCGTGGACAGCCTTGCAGCGACTCGCGAGCCTCAGCTGAAGGTAACTTAAGGGACGACAGCCTATCGCTTTCGAGTAGGCTGGCCATAGTCTTAGTTCCCACCCTAAGGCTGTGACAATTACGCCTTCCCCGCATAGCCAAGGAAAGTATCAAGCAACGATGGCTAATGCTGAAGGCTGAGGGCTGCTGCGATAACTGACTTGATTCCTAATACGGAGTAGATGACTACCTCTGCTGCTTATGAGTAGACACCTTCCAGGGCGAATCCTGTCCTGTATTCTGCTCGGGAAATCCGCTTCCCATTTCCGAAGATCGCCATGGATCTCGGGATATTATGTTCGGGGTGAATGGAGTAAAGGCCGGGTTTTGACCCCAGGAACCGAGGCAAGGCGAGAGGCAAGGCAAGGGCATGGGGCCGCTGATTGAGCAACGCCGGAGTGGCAAGATCTACGGTTACTTCAGGTGACTCCTGCCACGTCCCCCCATTGTCCAGTATCCACCCCTTGCTGGAGGACAGCAGTTACGGTCCGAGAAGGAGGAGTCAAACCCGAGTTTTAGATTAATAATTCACAGTGTTGAGCGAGATCTAACTTGGTTAACTATACTTACTCTCTGAGTCAGTACTGCAGCTTTACACTGGTGGCTATACAAGTCTAGTGGTAGATAGACCATCCACACCGTAACCTAATTTTAGGTAACGTTAGCGTCGACGACTCAAGGTAGTCCACAAAAGGACTAAGTGTACGGAGTATTGGTATTGTAACGGTCTCCGATCAAGAGATCAGATCATATCATATCGCATCGCATCGCATCGCATCATGATATCAATCACGCCAGGTCATACAGAAAATGGGGCCTGTAGCCTACGGGTTGCTGTGCTTCCTTTCTTTTTCCATTTTTGGTGTTTGACTTTTCCTAATTTTGCTTTGTCTTTTTGTTTTATTTTTTGGTTCTGCTGTTATCTCAAATCACGCCATGATGATGGATCGACCACACAGGCACAAACTCTAGACATGGAGTGTCAAACTGGCGGGATTGAAACAGACCCATGCTCCTTCAGGGTGTCTGATCGGACGAGTCGGCTAGAACTAGTATCTATCTGACAAGATAATCAGTTGCCTAGATCAGTAGGCGCAAAGATCCCAAAATTGGAAGATAGTAGGGAATACGGAGTACGGAGTAGATCGAGACTAATGCTGAGTGTAAACACGTATGCCTGTCACGAATACTGATCATTGAATCTCAGATCTTGAAACTATTGTGGTGAGTATTTAAACAGCTGGCCTTCATAGAGAAACTAGATGATATGGGCCCGTGGAATATTCACTCGAAGAACAGTAGTTAATGGATACCATCGGTTGAATAATCACCATCAGTGATCGCTAACAGGACACCTGGGCTGAAACGGGACTGATTATCTTTCCGTCCGGGCGAATCGGAACATGTCTGAGGGGAGAAACATCAAGTGGTTGATTACCTCAGACCTGTAACCCTCCCAAGAAACGGATAGATCCAAACCCGTGGTCCTTTTTTGCGTCAGCCCCCCTCCGTCCGGGAAGAGATAACGCCAATTCCGGTGAATGGGTTTAAAAGGAGAAACGTCGGGAGTTGTTTGAGCCTAGAAGGAGTACGGTACTACGGATACGTACTCCCTTATGCAACCAACCTAGTTATCACTAGTACCATGCCCTAAGTCGCATTAATTTAGTCTACGGGTACTTTTTCTTTTTGTCATAAATTGCCATCGGTCCGTTGACTTGCGTTTCTGGTCTAGACCCAAAGCGACATGCAATCAGAGATTTGAAGAGAAATGCCGACTGGCGAAAGTAAAATAGCGCGGCTTCCACACAGGCACAAGCGGAGCAACATGGAAGTTCGGAAGACCAAGATGGAATCTCCGGCAAGACCAATGAGGAGCTGGAGAATCTGGCTGACTTGAGGGTGCAATGCGGCAAAGGCCAATCGCCACTCGGGGAATAAGGCTTATTCCACAATCTCGGCGCTAGCAACCAAACAGGCAGCGAGAGCCCCGCCATCCTAGGCGTCTAGACTGTATTGGGAAAATGTGGAGCCGAATGATTCGATCTGGGGACAAGCTTGCGAGAGATGAATTGGCTGGAATGGAAAACAAAACGGTCATCCAGGTGTTTTTTCAGTAAAGGTGAAAAAGATGAAAGAGGGAAAAAAAAAAACCTTACGGAGCAAACTTCACCACTGCACCCAGTCCACACCCTGCATGGTTGTGAAATCCCCCATTTTCTGATCAGACTTATCATTCCATCATCCTGTTGAACTTACCCACCAACTCTTTCTCTGCAGGGGGTCTGGCTTTCTTTCCAAGAAGCAAGAATACCACACTACCTACCTTACACTGACTCTAGTACGGAAAGGGAACCCTCAACCCCCCGGTCGTAGATCCCCCTGGGAGATCGATAACGAAAGGGTGCGGCGACTAGTTTGTGATAAGACCACTCTGCTGGGTGTGAGTGACAGTCTTGACAGCGCGCTCCGTTATCCCCCAACGAGAAGATTACACCGCAGTCGGAATAAAATACCTTACTTCTTAGACAAAGAAAGAAACAAACAGAAAAGAATTTAAGGGCTGAAAAAGAAGAACAACAAGAAACAGAAGCAGAAAAGAAAAATTCCATCCTGGTAAGTGACCTGGTAATCGTTCTCCCGATCAATCTGGCCCCCCCCCGTCCTCTCCTCCGTCCCTCTTTCTCTTGTTTCCCGGGGGTTATCAGTTTCCTCCGGTCATTTTCATCATCATCATCATCATCATCATCATCATCATCATAAGCGTCAATCAGCAGCCATCAATCAGCCTGCTGCCATTCAGCCCCAAACAACCTCAACCTTCTTCTCCCACCCCCATCGGCACCGCCATTATACCCACTTCCCCTCCCTCTCTCGTTCTCTTCTTCTTTTTATCAATCTTTGCCTTCGGATCAGATCATATCTCTCCTGACTCCTCCCTTTTCCTTTGGAACGCTTTTCCTACCCTCCCCCTTCAGATTCCCTTCATTTTCCTGCCACCTCTCCTCCCCCCCCCCCATACATGCTTTTGCCCCCTCCCTCCCTCCCTCCATCATATCTGATCCGACATTCCATCGCCTTGTGCTGATCGCCCTTTTCCTGCCGATCTCTACCTCTGCCTCCGCCCTGTCCCCTAGACGAGATCGATATATCCCTCCCATCTTCTTGGACCCTTTCCTTCAGCCTTTCATTTGCTTCATCGTCCCCTTTTCTCTCCCCTTCTACATCTCTTCCATCTTCTCTCCTTCAAGGTCAGCCCTCGTGACTTCTTCTCACCTGTTCTACTTTTCAGAACTTTACGCCTCGAGCCACACACATCACCCGACGCCACGGCTACATCGCCACTCAGGCCATTTTCATCGTCCGTGGACAAGACCAGCAACCAAATATATCGTGGCTGATCTGCTGCTGTCAGGATTTCTCCACCGCGCTGATCTGGTTGTGCTTTGACGCTTGTCACTCGCCCTTTGGTCTCGCAACATTCTTCCTCCTATCATCAAGGATCCGTTGTCCTTGGACGCTCCCGGCTCCGACTCGCTAGCTGCAGTTTCCTACCGGCTCACATACCCCAGCCGGCCGGCCATTTTGGCTTTTCTTTTCTTCTTCATCTGCACTGTCATCTTGACCGACTTTTGCCCTGGTGGTACAGTACATCACTCCCGACTGTGGTGCGACATACATTACGACCCGCCCTTTCTGGATACCTCGACACCGATCCCAATCAAGTGACTGGTTGCAGCGGCCTACACAGAAGTTTCAGGTGCTTACTGCCGGGAGACAGGAGGAGCGAGGCAGTAGCTTCACAGTTCCTCGACCATGCTAGCTTCACTCCCACAGATGGAGTCGACGCGATCGCTTCCTCGAAATCCCGACATGGTTACGCGGCATCGATCAGCCGAGGACTTGGACGCAGCGCAACAGCTAGTTTCATCCGCCCAGGCTGGACGAGAACATCTTGCCGATCGCAGTCGTGACGATGAGGCGTTGAGAAGACAAGATGGAAACGTTACGCAACCTCCCTACGACTCTGACCGCACCCTTCCTCCCGTCAAGTCCTTCTCCGATGTGGCTCCCAGTCATCTCCCGTTGGAAAAACAGTCGCCAAAGTCACAAAAGGACGCTGCGATATTTGGGCATTCTTGCAGGTAGGTGTCGCTTAATCTCTGGTTGTGCGATTATATGTGTCTTTTACTAATGCCGCTGGCCTCCCCAGTAATTGCGGAACCAAAAGTACCCCACTATGGCGCCGATCCCCAACTGGGGCTATGATTTGCAATGCGTGTGGACTTTACCTGAAAGCTCGGAATGTTGCTCGACCGACCAAGCGGAACCGGGTACAAACGAGCGTAGAGCCTGGTCAACCTCCTCAGCCGCATCAACAACAAATGCCAATTCCTCCCCAACCTGAGACGCATACACCACATGGCGAAGGGGGCTGTCACGGGTCGAAAGGGTCATGTCCTGGTGGGGGTAGTTGCAATGGTACGGGCGGTGCGGAGGGCTGCGATGGGTGTCCAGCCTATAACAATCGGGTTTACAAATCGACAGCCAGAGGCACCGTCCCAGTACACGCCTGGAATCGAGCGCCAACTGTCGAGAACGAAAAGCCTCCCCCGCTCCAGGAACCCTCGGACGCTCCCGGGAAAACAGCGACGACAGGAGAGGGAAATATGCTGGTGTCGTGTCAGAACTGTGGAACCACGGTGACCCCGCTTTGGCGACGCGATGAAAATGGCCATCCAATCTGTAACGCCTGTGGTATGATGCATTCCTTATCTCGAAAGATGGTGTATTTCAGATGCTAACCGGTTTTTGTGTGCAGGGTTGTACTACAAGCTGCACGGGTGTTATCGCCCCACCACGATGAAGAAGACGATCATCAAACGACGAAAACGCGTCGTGCCCGCCTTGCGGGAACACTCGCCGACCGCCGCCACACACTCGTCCAACGGCTCCTCCGCATCACCAGAGGCATCTCCGGCTACGTTGGCTCACGGTCACGAAGATCACTACAGATATTACAGCTCTGAGCCGATGGAGCATTTTCCCAGCATGCCTGCAGAGAGAATTTCACCGGCCGCCCCAAGACAGTATGGCTTCGCGCCGCCGCCGGTCGATTTTACGGGCTTCGGCTCCGGCGCGGTCTCCTTGCCGCACCATCCCCCACCCCCTAGATTGCTGGAGCCAGAACGCATTAGCGCCCCCAGCCACTCTCCGGTGTCGCAGTTTGGCCGACGATCGCTGTCGCCCAATCCGAGCAACCCCAAGAAACGCACGCTCGCCGAGACTGCCTCTTCTGCAGAAGCGATCTCCATTCCAACCACCTTGGAAAATGGGTCCAACCAGCTGCCTCCGATTATGACCTCGATCAATCCGTCCCCTCCCGGGCGCCTCAGCTCGATCTCCTCACTTTTAAATCCCAACAACCACCATCACGAGGAGAGTCGCCTAGATCCATCCCTTGCGCCAATGGGTCGGCAGCCACATCTTCATCACCATCAACCGCCTCCACCTCCTACCCTGGCGCCTCCTCCTTCGCAGCCCTTGCCTGGCGTCTCGGAGTTGGACAGCCTCCGCGAGGAAAGGCGGCTGAAACTGCAACGAGAAGCGGAAGAAATGCGGGAGATGCTACGTGCCAAGGAGCGAGAACTAGCGGAACTGGGGCAATAAGATGGATAATCTTATCAATCAATTTAGTCTTGCCTTGGTTTCGGCCTTTGTCCTCCAATCAGTCCATCTTATCTTCCCGATCCCACTACCCCTTGTTTTTCTTTACCATTACCAATCATACAACCCAATTTGGCGCCGGGCTTTTCTGACGAAGATACCACCAACTTGTTAGTTTATGTCTTCATACTGGATTGTTTTTCCGTCTGTCTGAGAAAGAAAAAGCTTCTCTTCTGTCTGGATTACTGGGAGAGGGTGTTTAATCTGTTTGAAGCGTCGGCGGGAAATAGCGATATTTTTTTAAAGCTTTAGCTGCTTAGCTGAACCAATGTAGCTTACTTGTCTTCAGTTTTCCCTAAATCTAGGTCGAGTCATTGGGGGAGGGGTCTTACTATTCTGACTGTTTCTGGCTTATTCTGCGTGTCTAGCTTGGTGTCTTATTAGCGCAGTCGGACGATTTCCCTTTCGTAGTCTGACTCGGGTAAAATCTTTTTAGTCTGACGATACCTGTTTAGTCGCATAACACTTAGGTTGGTCTATGCCGCTGTGGGTGTGTGAAGTCGGGTCTAGTTGTAGGTATATGTCTCATACCTTGAGACCAACCTGATCTAGTGTGGAGTAGCGTCGGTTGTATAAGGTGCTATTGGTAAATATACTAACCGTTGATTTAGGACTAGTCAACTGTGTTTACAACACAGTACGGATTTCCGGAAGCGTAGAGAGCATAGTAGAAAAACCATCCATGACAGCGTTTGCAGTGAACTAAGGATAAAGGATGAATATCCTGTATATAAGAATCTATAGGTGTATGGTTGGAAACTAGCTACAACATGATCGTCCCTTTTGGCACTATACTACTCACACCATCACACTACAACATCCATCCCGGGGGAAGATAGGATAGGAAAACCACGGGTGGTATACCCGCGCAAGAAATGCATGCACGCATGGTAAAACGTGCATATACGGATAGAATACCACGCCCAGTAGCCTTTCTCGGTCCTGTTTTCTTAGTATTTTTTCTTTTTTTTTTTTTTTTTTTTTTGCTCTGTGGTCTTCGGCTAGTTCTCACCTGTAGTAGCCATTGTCAAATGTCAATGGTGTAGTTATACCAGGATCTCTTCTATAGTTACAATTGATGATTTCATCCCGTAGTAGTAGTTTGCAGTTGTCAGATATTTCTTCCCCTTACTCCCGTCTGACTTCACTCCTTGCACTTAGAGATGGATATCGTGAGTACCTAGGTAGCATTGGCACTGTAGGTATACCACCACCCCGGGGAAGAATTCGGGATCATCCCTGCTGGGAGATCGTACTTACTATGAACCCCGCTTCTGCGTATCTTGGTAAAAGTTATCTACAGCATGCTGTACTTTACAGATCATACACGTGTGGGGAAATAGCAAACAACGATTCGACTGGACCCTGCACGGTGTAGGCATCAGTGACAGCGCACAGCGAAGATCTATCGTCGAGTGGTTGGTCTGTCTTTGGGTGACTGATCCAATCGGTAATGGTGGGAATGGGATGAGCAGGTATTTCACCCAGCGCGGATTTGAGGGGTGAGTGGCTGGATGGCTGGATGGGTGGGTGGGTGATTCTTCAAGGAGTGTCGATTTTTGACGATTGCACTTCACGAAGGACAGACCTGGAACTCCCAGCTGGGGCGAGCAATGGTCAGTCTGGTATGTCAACCGAGAGTCGTGGCCTTTTTATGCAGGTGTATGCACTGGGACAAAGCTAGGTGAAATGCGGTGATGTGTGTGTGTATCCGAAGAAATGACTCGGGTTAAGCCAATGGTGTACTGTACTCACAAGGGATAGGATAGGACAGGGGATAGATGTGTAGTAGTTCGGATACTGACTTAGTGACATGTTCAGCAGGACAGAATAGGATAGGTGTGCAGTTCAGCTACTTATTCGATAAAATATAGACCGTAGATGAATAGCCAACAACGCTGCGATACTAACGAGAGTCTATCTTCACCCGGCATACGGAGTAAAATTCTTCTTCTAGGTCACTCACCATTCGAGCAACGATGGCGGCAATCCATGAGTGGTAGAGAGAAGATGTGTTCGGGTGGTTGAGGTGGGATTGTGGGTGGTGGTAGGTATATACTCCAGTTCTGGCTTTACCTTTGCCCCAGTCATTCTATGGGATGCTGGGGTGAAGGAGGGTATAAGTAGGGTGGAATGTTTGTACTCTATAGAGCGAAAGGCTCTGCTCTAGAGCGATGGCTGGATTCACTTTGGTAGGTAAATTACCTTTTGTTCTTCGTGGGTGGATTCTTGTGGTGAATGGCCCGTAATTCATCATGGAATGCGTGGATGATAGCGGAGGAGGGTCCGGCCATGGTAGTCTGGCTTAAGTATGGACACTCAAGTCGGAATTGAGGTATAGGTTGGTCTTTGGGCTGCGGTGCAGGTGTAGGCAGAGCTTGCGGTCAGGAGGGGTAAACTTTCTCTAAAAGAAGTGCAGGTCGCGCCTGGTTGATTCTACATAAGCCCAAATCTTTTATGTGATACCGGCTTTGAATTCTTATGGACTTCTACTATCTGGAGAACTTTCAACACAAGGTACGTTCGGTCATGATAATTCATTATGATAAGCCAGCCTCATGCTGCTGGATCAAAAATGTACAGGACAGGACACATGCTTATCAACTGTGCTCAGTGCCAGATAGAAATCCGTATCAATGAAAGAGGCGCGCGGGGGTATATAAAAGACAAAAATGAGGGGGAAAGAGACAGTGTCAAAGAAAGTAATCAGGCTCGTATATCTAGCGTCGTGTAGATGAACCCGTATGCATAACATCAAATCGGTGTTCCAAAAAAGGTTGAGTCAAATAAGAAAAATTCGTTGAAGCGAGAGTAAAACATTGCTCATCATACATCCACCACCAGCCGGCGCTGGCTTGTGGATTCGCCGCCGTGATGCGACGACTCCTGCACCATCGTCGTCGTGACCTCGATGCCGCCTAAGGCATTTTCGGCTACGGCTCCGATGTGGCTGGCCTCGCCGGACTTGACGTCGATCGTGTACATGTAGTAGTCGCGGTCCTGAGAGTAGAGCTCGACCTTGTGACGGTGAGAGTGCGCGGTCATGCGGGTGGCGGTCATGCGGCTGATGGACACGGTGGGGTTGCGCGTGTAGCGGTTGTAGCTGTCAGTGGACAGGAACTTGGGGAAGATGCGGCTGACAATGGGGCGGAGGAAAGGCAGGCATGCGCAGATGATGGCGACGTTGCATTCGGCGGCAGTCCAGTAGGCGGCACCGACGTTGCTCCCTATGATGGATGGCTGATAAGTACGAATGCAAGCGAGCGACGCGAGGTATATCCCGCCAGGCACTCACAAGATGTATCTTTGCTCTGCGAGACGGCGTGCAAAGAGGAGAGACGCAGGATACTGGTGATGACCACACTATAGCAATGAGTTAGTTAGAGGCAAGTGATGGATAGGTTCGGAGATCGTACAGTCCACCAATGGCGAAAACACCCATGAGGGCAAGCTTCTGCGTACGCGGAAGCTGCAGTTGCGACAGAAGAGGCATTGGCAACAGCAGCAAGGTCACGTCGGTGGCGATGTTCATGGAAGCGTTGAAGAACCACACCGTTTCGAAGTTGAGGCAGTACCCAGAAACGGTGCGATCCCAGAACCTGGACACGGGGACGCAGTTCAAGAAACCGCTGACAACCGCCCACGTCCCGTAGGTGGCTACTATGCCTAGCACAACGTAACATGCCAGTCGGAAACGGCGGTCTGGGAAGATGCGCAAATATTGGAAAAGGATGGAGAACTTGGTGAAGATCAGACTGGCATTGTAGAATGGAATGGCGGCCCATAGTCGCTATACAGAAACATTAGTTCCCGGTCGTCTGCATGGGTATCCAAGGACAGAACCCACCTTGAGTTGCTCCTTCAAGACATGCTGAGGAAGCTCATCAGAGTGTATTCCAAGACCGAAATGTACCTCTGTGACATGTTAGTGGACTTGCATAGTACAAGAGATACTTCGTATCTTACCAGCCCCAACCAGTCCAAGATATGTACACGCCAGGACCTGCAAGTCACGTCAGTACTAATCCAACTCTACCCGGCTCACTGCAAGACATACCAGGGAGATGAGGATCGTGTAATCTTCACGACCCTTCAACTTCATCAAACCAAGACGCGCATACATCCGTAAGGCAACGACAAGGACTGCAAAGCCGGTGAGCACGGCTGTTACCACCAGTGCACGCTGACCACGTTCTTCGCCATTTCCCGAAACTCTCGGCAGCAAAATCTTATCTCTAATGACGTCCATCGTAATATTATTGTAGTGATGTTGAAAGGAGTGAATCGAGTAGGTAGGCCCGTAGGGGTGTGGGTTGGAAAGAGCGTTCTTCGGAACTAGACGGCTGTAGCACGGCTGCTATATGTCGGAGTGAGATGCACTCTCTAGGTTTCGCAACCTAGAGATTAAGACGAGATAAATCGCATGGGCTGAATCGAAGATCGATGCGGTTTAAAGAGAGTGGGTGGGTTGGTCGAAGCGTCCACAGTAGAATTACGTTGGTAAACAGGAATCGGTGCAGTAGCGACATGGCTTTATTTCAATCCCTTCACTGGAGACGATCCCCGCAATGGCTCAAAGTTTGATAGTACTCAATAGCGTAAGAGAAGCTGCAAGAGAGCTGACGGACAGCATGGTGCCTTGTCGAGTGGACGACCTGAGCTCAGTCTGTCCGGTTGAGGGGGGCTGCCATTCAGATTGTAGTAATGATCTATGCGACTAGGCCGTCGGGCTCCACTGGTGTCGTGGGGCAAGGTGGAGGAGGCACGAGGTTGGAAGAGACAATTAGTCAATGAGGGAGCGCATTCAGCAGCAGACCCAAAATAAATGGCTCTCTGGTACCTTTCCGCCCTGTCAACTGGTGCCTCGTTCCGGGCTTCGATCCATGGAATGCCGCCACAGACTCGCTCGTCTCTCTTCTATAACTGCCCTGTGCGGTTTAGTGCTGCTCGGCAAGTCATGTGCGGTCAGCAAAAACTGTACCTGAGTGCTCCACAGCAAGAAAGAATTTGGTGATTACGCTCGTTCCAAGGTTGGATGTAGGCCATACGGAGTGCTACCAGGCTCATGGGCAGCGCAATCTCAAATCAATGAGATTAGATGATCGATGATTTCTCGATGGTCTCTGAAAATCCTTCGAAACCACGCTTGCCTAACTGCCTCCAAGGTCAGTACACATGATTCAGGTGTTTGGTTTCAGATCGTAACACGAATCAAAATCCCCGGTCGCGCTACTGTGGGCTCAGCACGCCTAGAAAAAGAGAGATCTCCTTGCGGCGGGCTAAAGTGGCATGATCGTGCACTTGCACTCCCTCGTGGTCAGAGATTGTCGTCAAGTCAGACCAATGAACCACACTCAAGGCGGAGCGTTTGTCGAGTGGCGTTTTTTGTTCCCTTTCGATACGAGTTTTTTGGAACTTTACTTGAACCTCAACCTGGAGAGAGGAGTACCATCGCACAGTGTCAATGTCAATCTTCACTAATCAACGGCAATGCTCTGCACGCATTCATTCTACCCAAGCCGGCCGAGAAGATGGCGAACCATTGCCGATTGCGTGCGCAGGTTTTGCGCTTTGATGGATGGGCATCTTTCCTCTTGACACATTTGGTTCATGATAGGCACTCAAATGTCACCGCGGTGGAGCACGTCGGCTCTAGCGTCCGAAGTGGCCGTGATTTTCGAGCGCAATAACCTTTTTAGGACAATACTGCTGCAGACGTTGATAAATCATAGCTCTCTTTTCCGCTCTTTTCCGTGGCTTTTGACCATCCCGGGAATTTTTGCCATGGCAGGAGACCATTCTCTGTCCAGTGGCTGATCGGCAGGTAGTATGAACTTTCGTCTGCAGACTCGATAGGCTGTGTGTCCGCGCGCGATTTACTCTGTAGGCCCTCGCTCCAATCCTGTTCCTGGCCGACCTAGCGCGCAGCTAAATCCGGTGTTTATGTTCGTCTCATGAGAAGGGGGGCACACTGTGTGTTTCTCGGGCGTTAGAGCTGTGGATCCAAGCCAGTCATAAATGTCGATCATATGGACATCTAGTCTTTCCTGATTTGTCTAGGGCCTTGAAGCCTGATCGCTTTTCCTTGCATTTTTAGGGTGAGTTTTGGTGGTTGAAGTGGTCTTTGTGAAGCTGTGAACCAGTGCAATTACGGTCGGAGGGAAAGCATTGCTAGATTTGACGGTCTAGATTGACTGCAAAAATTTCAGTACTTCCTCAAGAAGATTCCACGCCTGTACCGAGATTGAAGGTGTAACGATCCTTCGGACAACACAATTCTGCAGGATCAAGGGTCCGCCACCCACACGTGGAAGTAGGGATCTCGTGCAGCTCCAGTAAGCCTTCCATGCTTGTGGAAGCCAATTTTCTTTCTCCTGATCGGCATCCAAAAATGACATACATCATTTCTGGGGAAGCAACCTACAATGCGCCATCGGGGTTCATTTGGTGCTGTTTTGAAGTGCCTGGGGGATTCCCGGAGAGCTGGGCTGTAAGGATTCGGAGGTGATTATCGATAAACAATGGGGCAGTTTTATGCAGGTCCCAGGAGAAAGAGGGGGAAGAGGCGTCAATAGCGCGGCGCTATCACCGCTAGAGACGGCGAAGGATTGCACTACCACGCAGTCGGTATGAACACCCATTGTCAAGACTTGGCAAATGATGCACATGGCTTGAGAATAAGGCTTTTAAAACTCATGGCTGTCCAATGAGCATTAGGGCCCTCCTGGGAGGAGAAGTTCTAAGCCTAGTTTGGTCAAAACAGATGGCTGCAGGACAATGCAATATGCATGGATACATTATCGAATGCCAAAGATAGATAAGCGGACACTCCCACCAGGGTCCCGACTCATGTTTGAGGTCGTTCGATAAATGGCTGGCATGAAGTGCCTAGCTTGACTTTCTCCAATTCTTCTGACCCCTGGCCGATTCCAATTGTCCATTTAAAACAGCACAGGAACGGTGTTGCTGCTAAAAGCGGCCGAGCCATGTTGACAGCCTTGCACGGGCGTTCAGCGTTGAGGGAAACTCGACTCGAGGATCGTCGCGTGGAGGGGGAGTGCTTTCGCCGTGGCCCAGTGTCACATTATGTCACCACAGTCGAGCCGCTGGGTTTACGGATCCGTTCTCTTCATCATTCCCCTTATCATTGGCAGAAGATAATCGGACTCTGGGGCTGCTGTCAAAAGTGGGTGATGATCGGGTGACCGGAGGAAGGGAAGGGAAGAGTTGAGGCAAGGAAGAGGCGACGAAGCGGTCAGTCTGGCCTTAGTATCCCTGACGATCCACAGGTGGTGGAACAAATACACCAACATCAACAAACAATCTATGGAGTTCGGAGTCTATTCTACACTCGGTTTGGCTATCTGCTAGATCACAACGAGAAAAGGCAGTGATCTACACACTCTACGTTCGGCCAATTGACCTTTCCTTACAATATTGAGCGGCACATGGCTCCGAAAAATAAATAGCACAGGATTTGTATTATATTATTGTTGGTTCAGCAACTTATGCCCCTGAGATCATCCCGTTAACCCTGTTAGGGTTCCGAACTGCTTCGACGCGTCCGATGCTCTGTCGGTGACGTACAGTGTCAGGGTGCCCGAAATCATTCTGGTCTAGTAATAGGCGAGATTTAGCACGATCTCGCGCCACGTCCTGATCATACTCATCCGGACTTGGGAAACTCTGGACCGCATCTTCAGCGGCGGTAGTGGCCCGGCTAACAGCTTCCCGTCTCATATGTCACCTCGTTCCTGAGAGGTGACGGCTTGAAGGACTGGTGACCTTTCGCTTTGTAGTTCCTGACTTGCCGGCTCAAGGCCGTTTTTTCGGACGCGATGAACAGCTCCTGTTGCGCCTCAAGCCATTCATTGGATGACGGTAGCCTGCTGGCTTGTACAAAGCCGGACCCTATAGCAAAATCATCAGCCATGTAATCATGAGCGTTTCCGGGGTCTTCGATCGGGAAATCGTCGGTCTCCTCGGGTTCATCAATCCAATGCCCATGTGGGCTGTAGAATTTGAAGGTACGCGTAGATGCCCACTCAATTAAGTCCGTCATAGACCTAGGGAGTCGTGTGACTCTATCTTCGAAAAGAAGGATGACTGGGTCAATGTAAGCCATGGCATTCTTCATCAATGTCTGCAAGCGGAGCTCGCCCCCAGGCTTAGGGACCTTTGGATCTGTTAGCTGCACAAAGAGTGAGACTGCCGGTGATGTATCGCTCCGGTGTGAGACGGGATCGCCAAGCCAGTTGAAGTGGTGGACCGGCTCAAATTTGCCCATTGCTCCCACATAGACCCGGCGAGCATGGAATTCACAGTCAATCTCGTCTCTGATAGTCCTTAGCGCGGGACTTTCGGTCTCTTCGGGGTAGCGCACTAAAGGGACCATGTCTTGGCAATCGTCCTCGTCATAGGTTATTTTTTTGCAGCTGAAATCCTGGTTTAACCTCGATACGAGTTGGTTAGCGAAGGTTGGCCTATTGTTTGGGACGGTTGTAGTCCAATCCAAGCTGGAGCCACTGGATATGTTCTTTTCTTTCCAACGTGTCAAGGGCTCCTGAGAGAACCAGTCGCCAAGATCCTCCATTCGTGCTTCGTCTGACACACTGAGTGTCTCTGTCGAGCTGGTAGTGCTTATCTCGTCTACCTCATACATCTCTTCATCTGACGATTCATCCGACCAGTTGAATGACTCAGGCACAAGAAGATCAGGAAAAGCCTTTTCTAAGTCGACGAAACTTTTAGCACCTCTCTCAGACATTATCAGACCCACATTTCGCACTTCCAATCGTTGCTTCGAGGACCCATGTTTGAGCCAAGACGCCAATACGTCTTATCATCGCGGTGCTCGAGGTGTGCCTCTTTGTGTATTTATAACCAGGTTTTCGTTCCTGTTCCTGACTAGACAAAGACAAGCATTGACTGGGGAACCGAAAAGTTCAATGACAGATGCCATTCAATCATTGCTACCACGAATCAGAGGTTTGAACCTCAATCATGAGTCTCCTCGAAGTAGCATGGGTAGCGGTATGTTCCTGTTAGTCTCTAAGCTGTTGGACAAACGCTTCTCGCCAAAACATGATCTCAAGGAAGCAATTGCATCGCGGTGAGTCAAATTGCATTGGCATGATCCATGCCGACAATTGCTCGTCTGGTATCATACCAGAGATAATGGACTACTCTGGAGTTAGACAAGTCCGACAATCAGGGTGAAGAGTGAGTCTTTGTGCTGACCCATGTGACTGAGCTCGAAAGTCGAAGGTAACAAAGAAACTATTAGCGACCATTCAAATAAGCTGACCTTACTGCCGCACAAAAAGGCATTGTTTGTTCCTGCAGGTCGCATAACATAGCGTCTGCCGCGTCGCAGCGAGGCAGTCGAGAAGTGATCGGGGAAGCAACTCCGATGTCTCGGGGCAACCTTCAGCCGGCAACGGGCCCCGCCAAAATCACGACAAGCGGATTCCCCCGCACGCAACGCCGACGTTCGGCCGTCTTGGATTACATTTAAGCCATTGAGCCCCTCCTCCCCTTCCGTTATCTCCTGTTATCTTTGTGACTCACTCCTCAAAGTGTCAACCTCGAGCCCGCCTTATGCGCCTACTTCGAGCTCTTCTCACCTCGACCAAATCCCTGCGACAGCTCTCCCCTGCCTCGACCTCCCCGGGGAACATCTCCGCATTCACCCCGCTTGCCCGATCGACCCCGTTTCGCTCCGCGATCCAGCCCGTTTCCATCAGACGCACCATGGCTTCTGCAATGGCAAAGCGCCTCGAGGGCAAGACCATCGTGGTCACCGGCGCCTCGTCGGGCATCGGCCGCAGCACGGCTAAGGAGTTCGCCCGCACCGCGCCCAAGGACCTGAAGCTGATCGTGACGGCCCGTCGGATCGACTCCCTGAAGGAGCTCGCCCAGGAGATCAAGGAGGAAGTCGGTGAAGGTGTCAAGGTTCTACCCGTTCAGCTGGATGTTAGCAATCCCGAGGAGATCAAGAACTTTGTGCCGTCTCTGCCCGCCGACTTCAAAGAGATTGACGTGCTGGTAAACAATGCGTGAGTAGACCCATTTTTCTCTTGGTTAGGCTCGCTTATCTCCCCCCCCCCCCTCAAAATGAGCAGGCAGTATAGCTGATTTGAAGAACAGCGGCCTGGTCAAGGGTGTCGCCAAGGCCCCCGAGATCGATGCTCGGGATATCGACGTCATGTTCTCGACCAACGTGACCGGCCTGATCAACATGACCCAGGCTATCCTTCCCATTTTCCAGAAGAGGTCCGACGGCGGTCGTGGCGACATCATCAACATCGGTAGCATTGCCGGTCGTGAACCTTATCCCGGTGGAAGCATCTATTGTGCCACGAAGGCGGCCGTTAGGTCGTTCACTGACGCTCTAAGGAAGGAGTTGGTTGCGACGAGAATTCGTATCATCGAGATTGACCCCGGTCAGGTGGAAACCGTGAGTTCATGTCCGTCAGATGCTGATGTGGTTGACACTAATCAAGACTTCCCCTATACAGGAGTTCTCCGTAGTGCGGTTCTATGGTGACAAGGAAAAGGCCGATGCAGTTTACGCGTATGAGAACCCAAGTGGAATGTTATGTAGAAGATGAGTGATGACTTGACTAATGTGCTCTACCGCAGCGGCTGCGAGCCCCTTACCCCCGATGACATTGCTGAAGTTGTTGTGTTCGCCGCTGGTCGGCGCGAGAATGTTGTGATCGCTGATACTCTGATCTTCCCCAGCCACCAGGTAAGTAAAAATGCTTGGGTCTGATAACACACGGCATTGACACTACCAATAGGCTTCCCCGGGTATTATGCACCGCAAGGTTTAGAGAACTGGTGGTTGATAGAACATAAAGCGCATATAGGCGGGGCAATTGCTAGGTTTAGGTAATAGACAGCGACTTCTTACAAATATAATCACTTGAACCTTTCGGCTGGTCTTGGGCTAGTTCTGGCGTCCTGAATTCGTCCCGAGACCTCCTCGATGGCTGTCTTCTTGGACAGCCAGAATTTGTCATTCGAGGATGCATGAAGGCGCCTTTGGACAGGTCACGCTCCGCACCGTCACTCTAATCGGCAGCAGGGCTGAGCCCTGGCTGGCAAGTCTACTCGACCTGAAAAAAATCAATGATTGACGTGATCATTCTAATCCACCTGGGAGGTCAACAGGCCGCCTGCAGCGGATGGACTACTCAACCTGAGTCACCGCAATCTCTCCAATAGTAGCATTCCTACCTAGAGGGTATATCCCCAGCGCAAGGACGTTGTCTGACACACTGTCAGAGGGTTTTCCTAAACCAACATATCGTTCTGTACCGCCATTACCACTATTATATCAATATACATAACCACCTACTGATGTACGCAAGCAAATTGTTCGAAGCATTATCTATACACCCAGATCAAAAGCCCATCTTCTCACTTCGTACACTCTCAAGCACTAGCAACAGTAGCACTAATATCACAAACCCCTCATCCACAACACTTCTCCTCGATTGACGTATCTATCGTTCAGCCCAGCTAAGTAGCGCACTGAGACCATCCTCCCCAACCAACCACAGCCAAATCGACGTATCCAAAAGCACAGACATAACCTGCCCTACACACTCCACCCGAACCTCCCCTTAAGCTTCCACCTCTGGCATTCGCCCTGCATATGACATGGGAGCCAAGCGCCGAGCAAAAGAAGCAAACTCCGACTGGGCTAAATCTTGACGGCGGTAGGGCCCCGAAAATGGCGGTCTAGACTGCTGCGTTCTGCGGAGGTACTTAGTTGAGTTTTACAATACTCCGTACATGTACATACTACATTCAGTATTTAATCATTTGAGGCCATGCGGGATGGGGGGTTGGGTGGGGGTTGTTTATTGTTTGTGTGGGTTTGGGCGTCTTTCCTTTTGGAGGCGATTGTCTACCTATCTATGTATAGGGTGTCAATTTATTAGTGGTCTCCAGAATCAACGTTGGTGATTTAGGAAGTGGATTATATGCCCAGTTGTATGTCATTCAGTTACAGTATCGGTAGGTAGGATTTGACTCGACCTGTGTGTATCCTGCCTTGGGTTGTCGATCATTTGAGTTAATATGCATCAGAGGTAGTATTTCAATTAAGGGGAACAAAGCGAGTGTTAGTGTTGTCTTGGAGGGTATAAGGGCAATAGAGTAAATGATGTTCTCTCCCGGGTCCATATCCAGATGGGGCGGGCTCTTCCTACGTCTGAGAATTGTTCTCTTGATATATCGCCAGGGAGCGTCCCACTCGATGCCCCTAAATCACAGTATCTTCCTCAGCAAACGGTCGCGACCGTTTAGATATCCTTCTGTTTCTTCCATGCTAATGCAAGTTCAATCACTTTGACGAATAAAGGCTAAATCTGTAAAGAACGCGAGTAGCATCTACTAAGCGCCGGTGACCCGGTGGAAGAATAACCTGTAAGCATGCACTCAGTTTATAGCCTGTGGTCGGCAAGTTCGGTCTGCATTCCAATGGGCTGGCGGGTTATTCTCTATAACCACGCACACTGATGCCAAGGAGGAGGAGGAGAGGGGGATTTTCTCCAGGAAAGCTAATTTGAGTGGATTTGACTGACGCCTCAACACATGGTTGATGTGTGACTGGTAGATTTTGAAGATCAGGCATATCATAGGATGGGTGAAGTGGATGTGTGACTGTACAGTGTATATACTGTATTCGCGTCCCGGGTGGCAGAAAATTGCGTGGGGATGCTCGGACGCCGTACTCAGGTTCAACTTGATGAGAGTTCAAAGTTGAGATTCTCTTGACGGTTGAGCCAAGTTGACAGGTTGATAGGTCGACAGGTGATAGGTTTGATGGCTTTAAGAGCAGGGCACGCTGTGGGAAGCGTTACGTCTGGGGTGTTCTTTTATGACGACGGAATCGAGGGTTCCGTCTGGAACCCAAGGTTGTCCTCCTTCCTTCTTTCCAAGGGTGAGGGGAGTAGATTTCGAGATTACCAAGATACTCTACCTAGTTAAAGGGAGCCATGGCCCTAACATGACATACTCCGTATGATGCGACGGTTCAAATCAAATTCGTATACTCCGTACTTCAGAGTATGTGCATGGCCATGAAGTGACAAGTGGAGGTGTGGAGAAAACAAGAGCTCGCTCTTCCTCGGCCTGAGGCTCTGTCTACAGTACGCCCACGCCAACACCGGTGACCCTGTGCTTCCGTCCCTCCGCACAGAGTAGCATCAGAGAAAGTGCCAAGCATTCATGCTTGCCTATGATGTAAGTCTACGCGTCTGGCTGAAGCTGTCAATCGCAGTGCCCGCCATTCCGTCCAGCCGGCAATGCTTCTAGAAGGGCTATTGACGGTTGCTACTATCGGAAGAGGTGCCTATTCTCCGCGGGCGACAGCGAACCCCTGTGCGTCCCTCGTCGATATAACCAGCACAATTCACCTGACTCAGTGGGAACGGGGACCTGCGCCAGATGAGCCTGACGGAGTCGAAGTCGGAGCGGGACGCAGACACCAGGAGGGTCTCAATTGATCGAGCTGACAGCAGCGTGATTGGCCGTGGCGACTGGAAGCTATCCGTTTGTGTTCCGAGTTGCGTATGGCGAGTTGCTGAGTGTAAAAGTGGAAGACCCTCAGGGGAGACTGTATGGGGCCTTCTGGACGATTTAGTCATTTAGTGTGAGCAGAACATTTTATTGACCGGCGCTAAGAGGTGGAACTGGTGAGATTAATTTAATGGGCAGTCGACAAGACATTGGAACAAGGACTTTACAGCGATTTCAATTGGCATCACCGGTTGGAGGCTGGGCAACGGACTACTTAGTGAGATAGCAGGGTGGTAGCGAGGTCCTCTGTGAACTTTTTAAAGTTACTCGGTGATATTCTCGTAAGGCGAGGAGAAGCTGGCTCTCAACCTTGTGAATAGGTAGGTTCACTGTGATGTGATTTGAATCGGTTGACCCCCTTTTTTTACTGCTCAGGCAACTCCTCCGTACCATGCCACCAATTGATGCTCTTTGCAAAGGCTGCCCACACTGCCTTGCCTCTCGCCTCCACTTGCGATCGTCTGACCTGTTTCTCTATGTTCCAATCAAGAACTGTGATTTCGAGCTTTATCTTTGTCAATTCTAATGGAGACTGGGGCATCTAAGTGATGACGAAGGTACGGAGTATTCCGTATGATTGTGCTGAGAAGAAAGAAGCTATGGATAATGTATCCTTTTCATAATACTGCATCTCATTTTCTTTTTGTCACCTTTGCTTTGATGAAATACTTAACAATGACGACAGGTACTTTGGATGCGATGATGGCGATTGCCAGAGAGTGATTATTACCAGTGGATCAACAGACCCGATTAAATAATAATTTAACACCGTCTTGGCTGGCTTTGGCTTGAGCCACACGCGTCGCTGGTTAATGCCACACTCACCCACCCTTTCTCTCCCTCCCTCTTCCCCCCTTTCTTTGATTATTGACCCGGCAAGTGTGATGATAATTTATTCATTCGTCTCCAAGTTACCCCAATCAGCAGCAATCTCATCTCATTTCTCCCTCTGGTTGGCAATTTTCGCAGTCGAGACTCACGTAGTGATTGACTGACTCGGGATAAGAGTCAGTTTGCCCTGTCTACGGTCGCTACATCTATCAATTGCAGGTCTAGACGAAGTTTACTAGAAATTACCCCGTAGTTCTGCGATCAATGGTTGATGATGAATATTTTTCGGCGAGCCTTGATTGCTCTTCTCCCCTCTGCATGATTACTGCTAGTAATGTGTACTTTATGCTAGTCGTAGTCCAGTTATTATCTACTAGACTCTCTCCGTCTGGGCTCTTTCTTCCCTGCAATTCCCCCCACTCTTTTTCTCTTCTTCTGCTTCCTCGACGTGAACTAACCGCTCCTTAATCACTGCCTTCCTTCTCAGGCTGTCTCTCCCCTTTCCCCTCTCAATCTCTCCACCCTAACTTTCTCTCTCTCTCCTCCCTTGCCCTTAACCTCCTTGAACCCACTTCAAGCTTGTTCTCGAAAGTCTTTCTTTTGACTTTTATTTCTATAGACCATTTAGAAATCAGACGAATTGCAGCGTATCTGAGAATCAACCTGCTCGTTAATCTTCAATTCCGCCCGCTGCAAAGTTCCACGAACTCCCCCCCCTCTCCCTCCACCCCCCCTGATCCTCCTTCCCACACACCACCACATCGGCACATCCCTCCCTCCCTTCCACTTTTCCCCCCCCCAGTCAGCTTCTTTAAGCTTGGCCTGTTCGCTAGACCCGCTCACGGTTGCTGTGGACTGCCCTTTAGGCGCCTTTGCTCTGCGCGAAACTCCCGACGACCTGGGCCCGACCTCTTGACCCTTTGGCAGAGAAAATTGTGTTGTTGCTGCTCTCTCGACCCGCTTGTCACAGCTCCTGTTGGGATAGATACGATCACCGCTTCTCTTTCCCCCTTCCTTCCCCCCCATATCCCAGCATAATACAGAATATAGCCTACCAGGATGGCTTCAAAGGTACCTTTCTCTCCCGCATTCTGGGTTTCCCGTCGCTGGTATCCCTTCCCTTCCGCCTCCGCCTCCTATTTTCTCGACTTCCCCCGTACCTTACCGTCAAACTGCACCAGCGCCATCACGACAGTTGCTGACACCTTTGATCAATTTTAGTTCCTCAGAGAATACAAGCTAGTTGTTGTTGGTGGTGGTGGTGTCGGAAAGTCTTGCTTGACCATCCAATTGATTCAGAGCCATTTCGTTGACGAATATGACCCGACGATTGAAGGTGAGCCGTAGTCCTGCTTGGCCGTCTCCGATCGATTGCGCAATTAACCTGTTATTCTCCTTTCCACAGATTCGTACCGCAAGCAGTGTGTCATTGACGATGAGGTCGCTTTGTTGGATGTCCTAGATACCGCTGGACAGGAGGAATATTCGGCGATGCGCGAACAGTACATGCGGACTGGCGAAGGCTTCCTTCTCGTCTACTCGATAACATCGCGCCAATCCTTCGAAGAAATTATGACTTTCCAACAACAGATCCTTCGAGTGAAGGACAAGGACTACTTCCCCATCATCGTCGTCGGAAACAAGTGCGATTTGGAAAAGGAGAGAGCTGTCACAGAAGAAGGTGGGTTGTGGATTTCTGGTGCTTACTGTAAAGCCAGCTGACGAGTATTGTTTTCACCTGCAGAGGGAGAGGCTCTAGCACGACAGTTCGGCTGCAAGTTCATCGAAACCTCCGCCAAGTCCCGCATCAACGTGGAAAATGCTTTCTACGACCTCGTGCGTGAAATCCGTCGGTACAACAAAGAGATGTCATCGTACCCATCCGGGTCGGGCGGGTTCAACTCGCGAGCTCCCGAGGGTAAGATGGACGTCAGCGAGCCTGGCGAGGAAGGAGGGTGCTGTAAATGTATTATAATGTAATGAACAGGCGTTGGATTGAAAAGGATACACACATGTCGAGACTCGGAAGGAAGCAAAACACTACATCTCGGCTGGAAGTGAGCTCATCGATACCCACCATCATGATGCGGAATGTGGCTTGTCGACGCGTTTGAATCGTGCTATTATACCAGATGAGGCTCGCCGCCCGATGATGACTGCTCCCGCCCTCATTGCCGCCATCCTCTCCATGAACGTTCGATTCCCCCTCTGTTTCTCTGTTTCTTATTATTCCCTTCATCATCTACTATTATTGTCTTCTTCACTTTCTCTCTCTTTCTTCCCACACCTTTAATGGCAGAATGGCCATATATTTCGACCTGGTTCTTTTGAATGATATCTCGACTTTGGAAAGGATGGGGATGGGAAAAGGCATCTGTGCGCTAGATCTTGTGCATTTTCATCTTAGGTATATGGACTTACCGTGGCTCGCATTCTCTGTTATTTTGTTGGTAACCAGGGCTTTGTCTTACTGTCTTTCCCTCTGCGCGTCTCTCACTGTCCGCCATCGCGACCTCGTTTTAACTAATGCTCACTCTGCTTCAATGATCTTCTCTTACCTACTCTTGAGCACGTCATGCATTCGCCATCTTTTCTTTTCTTACTCTTTTTATCCCGTTCTTCAATTTGTGTGTACATCTTTTTCTCCGAGGATGGTGTGTTGTGTTGAGGATGAGGTGTGAGGCTGCTGGAATGTCTGTTAGGAATGGAATTCGTCTGAAGCTTCTCATCTTGCTAGGATTTCTAGGTGTGTGTTTCTGTGACCGGGTTGGCGTACGGTTTCGGTCCACCCTCTGTACATTTTCTCTTCTCCAAAGGTTGAGGCTGGTGCGGGTGCTGTTTGTCACTCCCATGTTTGTATGGGTGGCTGTACCGACTTAGATCTGTCTTCAATTGAGACTGGATGGCCCCCCGTTCGACTCGACCACATCATCTACTCGATTAGAAGATAGTATGGAGTAACCAATGGGCCATCGAATGGCCAGCTTGCTTTTCAGTGTCTATATGTCCAGCAAGTGCCGCTATCTAAGGACGAGTCCGGCTGCACGCGCAAATGCAGCGGCGGGGTGGAGGATAGAGAAGAACAGAGAGGGAGGGCTATCGAAACCAGTTCCAACCACTTCACTCTACGGTCTCCCTACTTCTCCTCCTCGGCATCGGAGGGAGGATCCAGCTCATCCTCCCGAAGCACCTTCTTCCCCTCCACATTCCGCTCGACCTCGAGGATCAGCGAATCCATCAGCTCCTTGTCCGTGCCCACCAGCGTGACGGTGTTCCGCTTGTTGCCCCACCGCGGGTAACTGCCCACCTTGACGCCGCGGTCGGCCACCCGCCCGGCCAACTCGGTCAGGTACCCGGCTACGGTGCTCTCGGGCAACGGGGTGCTGAACAGGTACCGGTAGATGCCCTTGCCTTCCTCCGGGTTGACCAAGCGCGGCAGCAGCGACGGCTTCAGGTGCTCGAGCAGCCGCTCGAAGAGCCGCGGCACCCCCGGCAGGATGTGCACGTTGCCGTTCACAATCGCGATCGGCACCCACATGTCGTCCGCCACGAAGATCGCCTGGTCCTCCTCCGGGAGGGACGCGTCGTGCGGAAGCTCCACCATGCGCAGCTTCGCCGTCAGGCTCGCCGAGGGTGTCTCCCAGTCGAAGGTCGGTTGCATGGGGTGCGGTTTCGAGAGGCGCTTCATGCGTTCGAATGCCGGTTGGTGCAGTTTGAGTGGGAGGGAAAAGGCTTTGGCGATTGAGGCGTAGGTGATGTCGTCGTGTCTGTGCACATATTGGTGGATGTTTAGTAAAGGGTGGTATTCTGGGGGTTTGGCTTTGCGGCGGGGGAAGAGGATACGTACGTCGGGCCGATGCCTCCGCTCGTGACTACGAAGTCATACCGATCACTCATGCGCCGGACCGCTTCGATAATCTCGCTCTCGTCGTCGGCAATCACCTCGATGCGCTTCAGTTGGATGCCCAGCGTGAAGCAGTATTTTGCGAAGAAGGCGGAGTTGGTGTCGATTGTCTGGATTTCATTGTGTTTCGGTGGTTAGTGTGAAGGTTCGGGTAATGTAGGAATGGACAGTTGCGCGCATGTGGGTTGGCAGTAGCACATCACTACACTTTCTTTGAAAGAAAGAGAGAGGTTGACAAAGACAATGCAGGAAGAAAAAAATTGATTGAGCATGCTTGAAGCACCGAGCGATAACATACCTTTCCGCCAAGGACTTCGTCACCAATGATCAGACATGCCGCGGTGTGAATGGTTCGTTTGTTCTTCGGGAGTACGGATGATGTCATTTTCAAGGACGGCGCGCGTGAGGCAGGGACAATTGCACTAGAGGGGAATGCAGATGCAGAAGAATTGTGAAGAGCTGGTCGAGACAAATGGCGGGTGAGTTGACTGAGACGACTGAACATGGGGATAGAGGGGAGAGTAAGAGAGGATAGAATGGATAGAAGAAGACAACTCGGTCGGGGGGGAAGTGGATTTCGAGCGGACTAAGTATCAAGCGTGAGTGGGCGGGGAAGAAGGGGAAAATGCGCTGAGAGTTTGAAGGTGAGAGTTGAGGAAGGGAGAGCCGGTGGGCAAACAAGGCGGCCGGTCGGTCGGCACCTGTTCATGCCATCCCACTTGATCGCAAAACGCGGAGCTTCTCGTCCCTCCGATCGACATCCTTCTCTACTTTTCCTTCTGGTGGACAAACGGATATCTGTCCCCATCGCCTGCACCGCTGGTTGTTGTTGCTGGCTTTTCTCTTCTATTCGTTTTCTTCTGGTCGTTTGTGATAGACAAGACAAGATGGTGAGAACACACGACGCTTTCTCTGCCCCGCATCTCTCACCCTCCCTCCCTGCCCTTCATCGTCATTAATGTCAGATCGCCGTCGCAGTCCGAATCCCGTCTATACTCTTTCTCGCCCGAAACAAAAGAGAAGCTGCGCAAGTTCCGTCTGGGGACTTCGCGCGCTAAAGATGCTCAGGCTGTTATCTGTAGGAGATCCCGTCTCCGTTCTGCTCGTTCTCTCATTGCGATTCATTGAAAATGGCCCATGAACCCCCGATGACATCAAGAAGGCGATGCTAGCATGTTCTAGACTGTGAGACGGAGGCGCGCTGGAGGACGAACAAACGCATCATCTTCTTGCTGGTGTTGTTGCGTATAGACGCTGGTGCTGACTGGTTCCAATCTGCGTGACAGACTTGATCGACAGCAAGAGTCAAGAAATCCGGCCAGAGGATGGCGAGGTCTACACCAAGATGGAGGACCTCGCCGATGAGCTCCCGGAGACGTCTCCACGATTCATCCTACTGAGTTACCCGTTGACCTTGGTAAGTGGGGGGGTTTTTCTTTCGCGTCCTCTCGCGTTCGGCCAATTAGCCAACCGAATCGGCTGCTTACGTCTTTCTGGTCTGCTAGGCGTCTGGCCGTCTCACCGTTCCCTATGTGATGCTCTACTACCTCCCCGAGAACTGCAACCCTTCGCTGCGCATGATGTATGCGGGCGCCGTCGAGCTGATGCGCAACACTGCCGAAGTGACCCGGGTGATTGAGGTAGAGAGCGAGGAGGATATTGTTGGGATTGAGGCGAAGTTGCAGGGTCAGAAGTGATGAGTGGGAGGGAGATATGCCTGAATATACTTCACTTTGAATGTCGACTGTTTCTGGTTCATATATAGCGCTTTTAATGATATACATAGCGTTGTACGCTTTGTCATCGTGGTATGATCATGGATCTGGTGAGGCATAATGGGATAGTCGGGAGTGGCAGGACGATGCTGTGTTCGTAATGAGAAGAAGACTTCGATCGTGAGGGCGCGTTTGCTTCATGGGAGTACTAAGGTGCTGCACCGTCGGCAGAAGCAGGCATGAGTAGGTAGACAGAACCTTGTACGGAGTAAACCGGTAGGTAGGTGAGAGAGCGCCGTGCTAGATAACTAACTGTGTGCAGTCCATCGTCATCCAGCATAAACCCTCCGCAGTACCCCATACACTGCACGACCGATCCATCAATCGGATCCCCATGATCCAGACCATCGTTGCAGTCAGGTACGTTCCTCAACTAGCGCAGCCCCATCCGTCCCCATTCCCAACAGCTTGGGCGACCCTCTTGAGCTACCTCCCAGAGTGGAACCCTTTTCCGGGGGGGAATTGGATACATCAACTTTTCCCCACCCGATGGTGGGCGGAATGATGGCGGGCTGCAGGATTTGGTTTTCTTCAGATGGTGCAATAACCTTACTGTGCGTTAGCAGTCCGATACTAGACTCAGGTGATTTGCTAGGGTGCTTGAGTCTTGGTTAGTGAGATGGAGATAAGATGATCGACATTTAGCTGGCAGCTTTTCATGGGTAGAATTTTAGGTACAAGAAATGAATAACGGTGACTATGCTAGGGCTTTATCCAAGTACCAGGGTGGCTTCCATACATACATACATACATACATACATACATACATACATACATGCATACATTTCCATGTACGTTCATGCAAAGTGTTGTTAGTGATTAGGCTTGTGCTTGAGGAGATGCGTTGTGGTGGTGATGTTTACTTCAGTGTAAGTTACCTTGCGTTATGTGTTTCGTTCTTCTTAGATGGGTAGTTAGACGATTACTACCGCCTGTGGAAACTGGGAAGAAGTGAGGCCATTGAGAGAGTACCAGTAAGGCTTGCAGTGGATTTGGAGATTTGGCGAAGACACTTGCAGCTTACATACTCTTTTGTTAGTTACTGGCATGCTCAAGGTCATAAACGTACAGCACTTTTCATGTTAGTACTCAAACTAAGATGCTCCTACCATGGGTAGATAGTGGATTAAAGTACTAAACCAGGTTGGGCAGGAAATCCAGCTGCCGCCAGTGCCAGGTCCAGTGCCAGCTGTCTCCATGGAGCCGGGTCCGGGTCCCATTGCATGGGCGTATCCCTTCCTTTCAAAGTTCCGCAAGGCTTGTCGATTCTCAAGAGTCAACCCTGGAGAACAAAGAGGCAAAGCTATGGATCGTTCTCTGGTACTTCGAACTCATGATACGGCAGGGATGCCGAGCGTGGGGGGCAAAGAACAGGGATTAGATATCCCATAACCCGGTGACGGCTGTGATGGCTGTGTGGGAGGGGAGAAGAACCCGCAGCGATTGACAGGCCGGGATTATAAGAGACTCTTTGTTGTGTTGTTCTGAGGAGTTCTGGTGATTGGCTGATGGATGAGGGGTTGCATGGGTGAATTGCGTGGATAAGCGAATTCTGAACCCCTGCATGTCACTAGGTAGACTGGTTACTACTGGGCTGTATGGCTGTGTGCTGATGGTGACGGTGGCGACTGCGACAAAAGGAGAGGGAGGGTCTTGCAGTGCAGTTGCAGTTGAAGTTGCAGTGGGCGAGACCCGGTGGTGTGGTTGCTGGGTTGTTTCGTGATGTTGTCGGAGATGTGGTTTTAGGATACCTACTGGCTGTATTCTTGGATGCGCTAGAGCACTTACAGGATTTGCATGCTATTCATGTGAAGGTAGATAGCTGCTCTGTCTGTTATTATACTACGGTGTAGTTAGCTCGTCTCATACCAGACACCCTTGTAGAACCTCCTGTGTACGTAGTAGTGATCAGTTACCAGGGATGGTGGATGACAGATTTCTCCGATTTGAGAAGCAGAGGCAGAAGTGGAGGTCAATGGAACTTTAGGTTTCGCTGGGCTGCTTCATCCTGACAAATTGTTCCATCCTACCACCAAAGTCGATACCGTACCCATACCATACAGGCATCATTTCTACCCTTACTGCCGGTTGTTCTGCATGGAACCGTTGCCGTTTTTAATATAAATTGGGACAGTCTGGGTAGTATCGTGGTGTGGTTTGTGTGTCGTGCAGCTGCTATGCATGCGCTATTGTCAATTGGGAATGTCGGGAGGATTTGAGGTATGGTAGTGTATTTTAGTATTGATTGTTACATGTATTGGAGGGTGTGTAGCACATAATATGGTAGAGATATCGGTATGGTAAGATGCGTCTGATTTGCGCGTACTTATTAGTTATGAGGGTAGCCTCTCGCTGCTGTGAGTGTTTCCTGGATTAGGGCGTCATGGTTTTAATCAGGTTGTTTGAAGTGTAGTACTGTAACTATGCTCGATGACATCCAAATGGTTCACTCGAGTGATTACAGACAATTAGTACTGTTTGACCCAACCCATCTGGCTCCGCAGTCAGCATCTAGGCTCCTGGGTACATGACAACAGACAAACCCTGTGCCCTCAGCCACACCCTAGCTGTCGGAGACCCAGAAAAAAGCAACAAGCTCGAGTCCGGAAATGCTTGCCTGTCACAACTCCACCACCCGAGACCGTCGGAATCGCGAGCACAATTCCCCGCCAAGCTTAAGAGCATTAAGGAAAAAGAGCCGGAGTTCGAAACGGGAGTTTCGGACGGTGTTTCCCGAGTGGGTGTCACGGCATTACTCGTTGTCGTAGCGAGTTCTACTGTAGGAGGAAGGGGGCCTTACAGAACCAAGCGCCCCGCCGCCTCGGTTCGCCCGTCCGCTAGACTGCTTAGTCGAGCTTGCAGGAGGAACACTTCTTTCTGCCTTTTTCTGTTTGGTACGGGTCGAGTGTATCTTGAGTCTTCCAGTGGTCAGTCTCTCTTCAAAGAAGTCTTCGAGTTGAATAGTTATCCTGCTGCTTATCGTCTCATCATGTTGAGTTGATCAGGGTACAAGAATCCTGTACCGTCTGTAATTGAGTATACCATTACTGTTATCAAACACCATATTAACTAGTTACTGAATGCTATCACTGAATGGATAGAAAATAAAACAACCGCGACCAGGAGTCCATTAGCCATGTGCCACCCATACATAGTACATACACTTTTAGTTCCTTAGTCTCCTACCACTTTGGTAAGTTAACACATTTTCTTTTCTTTTCTTTTTTTTATTTTCACTTTTACGCCTTCATTACTTTATTACTTGAGACGTTACTTACTTTACCAGTGTTCATACTCATACCCACCCCCCTCTC